AAAATTGAACACGAGTGTTTGGAAGCCGAAAATAAAACTTTCATTGTCGAAAAAAAAAGAACGGTGTCAGAAATAAGGTGGATATGAAAACGTGAGTTGTTAGATATGGTCCGATATGCTTGCTTTGGGGCAAAGGCAAATGTATGAGATAAGATAGGGCTATCGTAAGCTTCAGAGATTTTTTTTCATCCAATAAAGTTTATTATACGGCGGTCTTTTGTAAAAAAGCGTTCATTCAGGATCTAGACGTTGTTCTTTCCGGTGTGTTAGAGAAATTATCAAAGAAAAAAATGAAATCTTTGTACTAATAGTTACAATACGAATTATGACCAAGTGCAAGTACAACTTCAAGGAACATAACCGGGATACGAGGATTGTCTCAAAAATAAGGTTCCCATATTTTTCTGGCACAGGAATTTTCTTATTCGAATTTACCATTAGAAACGTTTACCTTTGAGCTATTTTTCTACCTAGTCATTTTTTTTCTACGCATTTTTTTTAGACGTGGAATACACCTTTTCACTCTCGCCTCAAGGAAGTCTGCCGAAACCATATTTTTGAAACAACCCTTTAGATAAGCACATTTTACCGACATTGGTCTCACCAATTTTACCAAAACCCAAAATTTTCGAAACTGTGTAACATTTCTCCGAGTGATCATCGGTTGTTCTCCTTCTACATCACTGACAAGGAATCATTCAATAATTACTCGGCCTTGCCCAACATTAACATAAGTCGGTCAGAGTTCAGAGATGGGCGCAATGTAGGGGAGACACGATGACGCTGGCGCCAGCGGAGTTGCCGGTATTTCTGAATAAGATCTATTTACCGAAATACCGAGAACGTCCTCATTTTCCACGATTTTTTAAAATAAGTAAGATACTTTTTTTTACCAAAAAAAAGAACAAAAATTGAAGCTGGAAAAATGAATTCTATGTCGCAGTCTATGTAATATACTAAGTCACATATAAATCCGAACACCCAGTTTAAATGGTTTTATTTTAATAAAATTTTGTATAAGTACTTAATGAAGCATAATAAGTAAATGATAAAAATTTCAAAATGATCGCACTGCTTTAAAGCCCTTTGACCTTTAATAATGTGTGGATGCAGCCTGATGTGCTACGCATTCTCCAACGCGCCTAGACATGCTTCTGATCAGGTGGTCAATGTCCTCCTGTGGTATCTCATTCCAGGCAACCACCAACTCCTCTCGAAGTGCTTCTAGAGTCTGAGGAGGACGTTGCAAATTGAGCAATCTCCTACCCATCATATCCCACACGTGCTCAATTGGGGATAAGTCGGGAGATCTTGGTGGCCATGGTAACAATGTGACATCATTATGTTGAAAGAAGTCTATTGTGACTCTTGCAACATGTGGTCGGGCATTATCTTGTTGGAAAGTTGCCAGGGTGTCAAGATAGGGTAAAAGATGGGGTTCTAGAACTTCGTGGATATAACGCTGCACGTTCATGTTACCTCTGATGAAGATTAAAGGTGACCTGGAACCATAAGCTATAGCACCCCAAACCATAACTCCAACAGTGTGATGAACATGTCTTTCAACAAAAACTGTGGATTCCTCCTTTCTCCACGTCGCCTTCTAACCCTGGCACGACCATCGTGCATGCCTAAACAAAATCGAGACTCGTCACTAAAGGCAATACTGTTCCATTCCTGATCCCAGAGTGACCGTTGTCTGCACCACTCAAGGCGATTACGTCGGTGTTCTCGAGTTAAAGGGAGGACCCAGTGTGGCCGGTATGAAAACAAGCCAAAACTTCTCATTCGTCGGTAAACACTTCGCATGCCAATAGGTCTTCGGTGTTCTGCAAACCATTCATTTGCATTGGACCTGGTAGTGGAGAAACGGTCCCTTAAGGCCAATAATCTTAGGCGGCGATCTTCACGGTCTGTTGTTATACGGCGGCGTCCAGTGCCCCTTGCTCTTTGCGTACGGCCTTCTCGAAGCCATGCCTGACAACACCTGACCACAGTGTCTAAACTTCTTTGCACTCTAACTGCAATTGCCCGAAAAGAAAGTCCAGCTTCCCGAAGTCCCACTATACGGCCCCTATCAAACTCACTAAGTCGACGAAATCGTACAGGTCTCCGTACTCTAGGCATCGTAACCGATCGTAAAGGATGTCAAGAACCAAAATCCGCCAACGTTGATTCTTTACTGCGGCTGAAATAATTATTTTTAGAGCGTTAGTGAATTAAAAAAAAGCAGTATAAAAACCGGAATGTGCAACTGATAAGGCTGCACTTGTTATTTACAGTAAGATAAATACATTCACCAACTTTTATTAAAATAAAGCCATTTAAACTGGGTGTTCGGATTTATTTGTCACTTCGTATACATACAACAACAATCGTGTTCTTAATGAAAACTGGATATATTATAGAAAAGGGGTCATTTAAAACGTATATAAAGGTTTTTAAAATAAACAAAAAAAAATTAAACCTAAAAATGAATAATAGTTAGAAAAACTAAAAAACACGCTTTTATAGCTAACCAAACTGAAAAGAAGAAAATAATTGTTAATTACAAAGAGTTTATATTACAGTAGTAGATGGTCGAACAATATGTGTTTTAGAATATTGATTGTAAAAAAGTCAACGCATTAATTTAAAAAAACCATTTAAAAAAATAGTATCCATGCATACCTGTCAAAGGGATCCCCTTGTGACGAGCTGCTATAAACCAGTCATAACGCAATTTGTTAATTTTGGTACCACCGATAAAAAGCTTCTTTTTTCATTCAAATTGCTGTTCGACATCCATTTCTTTAGAAGGATTTCTTTATGTTATTATGGAATACTGAAACGCTGCTATCTCAATTTTTTTAGGCATCAGAATTTTTCTATTTGGAGCCATTTCTACAATGAACGTGTCGCCTACTGTGTTATTTCCGCATAGACATACTGAACGGAAATTTAATTGAGAGCATATACCCAAAGAGTAAGAACGGCAAATGCAGGACTAACTCGGGGAAGTCCCTCATTCACACCTGACAGAAATGCTGCACATAGGCTGGATTTGTACCGAAGTCGGTAAATCCCCGGTTTACTCTAGAAAGTCCCAGCGATAATGACGCGCGGCATGATCGTGAAACGCAATAGCGATACTCTCAACAGAAAAAGAATAAGACAAAGCTCCTTTTATTTTGCTTTTTAAAGTCTATATAAACATGGTAGATTACCGTCATCACCTTAACACCGAAAAAGGAAACCAAAGCTCTTCCGTCTTCCTAATTAAATATTAACTTAAAATGTCAGGTAAAGGTTTCAAGTTCAGGGGCAAAACAATATTCACTTCTTATAAACAAGAATGGAAAAAGGAGTTTCCAGCAGAGTTGCTAATAATTTTGAAGAGCAACTAGCATGCTGATTGCACAAGTTTTAATAAATGAGTTGATATTGTTTTAAGAATAGATGGTATCAAAAAACCTGTGTTGTGTGGTTGTGTGGCCCGTGATCTTCTTCTGATTTTCCTCCTACCGATTTTGTCCTTGAATGTACCGAATTCCAATGACTCTATTCCGTCGATTTCGTATTTTTCGGTTCGGCAACAGTGGGCGCCAGTTTGTGTCGCGACGCGCTGTTTACCGCTCTCACGCCGATCAATAAAAATGATAATTTTATTGATAAATGTGGAAATTATTACTGATTTGTCAATAGCATAACTTGTTGAGAAAGCAATTACGGTATGGACGGAATTCAATTCATTGTGATCACGAGTTGATTCGAGCGAGGTTATGCCCTGGGTTATCCCTGGGTCAGATACTTTTACGACCAAAAAAGATGCGCTTAAAATCGTTTGGTCGAACACGTACTGTCATACGTCGTTGCTGTCAAAATCTGTTTCTTTTGAGCTTATAAGTTTGCAGGTACCTGTTTTTGTTGTTGAAATGTCCTTATTATCAAAAGAAAAGATTGGAGACGTTTGGCCTACCACAATACGAGCCTTCATACAAAGATATTTTCGTCGTAGACCATGATGGAGAATAGTAATGCAAGAACATTCATTTAGTCTAAAAATGAAGCATTGGCATTGGCTTTAAACAATATGTACTCGATATCCACAAAAATACATCAGAGGGTTCCAAAATTTACAATTTTGGGTGAAAACGCATGTAAAAACTAAAAAAGTACGGCTCGGATTTTTTTATCAGCGTACACTTTTATGATAGCAAATATGCTTACAAGTTCTTATCGAAATTCAATAAATAACTCTGGGTATTGCATTTTATATGTCACTTAGAATATAAGCGCTACTTTATGAAGTCACACATCAAGTACCAAATCCGCTTAAACGATATTGGTAAATATCAACGATGACCGACGCTGAACTTGAATCAATCTTAAGTTTTGTATTTGAATTTTCCTAACTGTACCGCTGTTGTCTTCTTAGCGCGAATTTGTGATCATCAGAAATACGCGTTTCCATTGATCGTAGAATTATTATGTTAAGAGTTTGTGTATTATGACAATAGCTCAGCGGTTATTTAAAGTACATTTGCGAAATCGTGAAAATTGTATGTTCAACAAGAGATTTGCGGACTAGGTATTTTATCGATTTATTTATAAACTATGCGATTGTTCCACAAATAAAATGCATAAAATGCATGACGAGTTTCGCAATATTTTTGTAGTATCATCATACTGTTTACTGCTCTTAGGCTCTTTCCACGATACATAAACAACATTAAGCTAAATATATATTCTTGAATTATGAATGCGAATTCTGGCGAATTTTTGTTTTGACTTTTGTTAGAACAAGGTGGTTACACTCTTTGTGTTTTCTTACACTTCTTAGTGTTGTTAAATGGTAGAAAAGCAGAACACGTCAACCTTTAAAAACGTAAGGGATTTGCAGCAACGTATGATGTCAACGCACCATGTGTGGTGACTGAAACCATTGTTTTCTGATATCTTGACTGATAAATGTGCGCTAAGTAATCAACAAACTATTTCCTTAATCAGATCGTGCCGGTTAGATATTATTAATATTGTATCTGGCCTCGTTGGGACACTTATCTTTATTGGTTCAGTTTGCTTGATTATTTATACAAGAAAGCGACTGTGTCATGCATTACTTTTTCTAAATTGGCTAATAATTAAAAATGCTTCATTTGTGTACGCGTGGCTGATATTGTTCGGTTTAATTCAGTTGTGCATTAGTTACACCGCAGAAATGTACCACTACTTCTTCTGCTAGCTAAAGTTACGGCAATATTAAGAAAAGGTAACCCATCTCAAATCAATAACTATAGAATCTCGTAATATTGCAAAGTTGATTACATGTTCATTTTTACCACAACGTGAGAAACTTTGTGGAACGGTTAGCACGGTCTCGTCGATTAAAAATCATGTATCATTAACCATGCTTGCTAACTATTTGCGAAACTTTGTTTATATGGACGTGGACAAAACATTTGATAGAATAGATTTAGGCATCCTGTTAAAGAACGTTTCTTTGGTTCCCTGATGACCTTGTATCTCTTTAGTAGGAGTCGAGACGTTGAATATGAAGGATACTATTCAAAAGTTTGAAAGGTCTACTTCAAGAATTCTCCAAGGCTCAAATATGGGCCCTGTACTCTTTTTGTCATATACTAAGTGACATATAAATCCGAACACCCAGTTTAAATGGTTTTATTTTAATAAAAGTTGGTGAATGTATTTAACTTACTGTAAATAACAAGTGAAAAAATTTTCAGCCTTATCAGTTGGACATTCCGGTTTTTATACTGCTTTTTTTTAATTCGCTAATGCTCTAAAAATGAATATTTCAGCCGCAGTAAAGAATCAACGTTGGCGGATTTTGGTTCTTGACATGATTTACGATCGGTTACGATGCCTAGAGTACGGAGACCTGTACGATTTCGTCAACTTAGTGAGTTTGATAGGGGCCGTATAGTGAGACTTCGGGAAGCTGGACTTTCTTGTCGGGCAATTGCAGTTAGAGTGCAAAGAAGTGTAGACACTGTGGTTAGGTGTTGTCAGGCATGGCTTCGAGAAGGCCGTACGCAAAGAGCAAGGGGCACTGGACGCCGCCGTAGAACAACAGACCGTGAAGATCGCCGTCTAAGATTATTGGCCTTAAGGGACCGTTTCTTCACTACCAGGTCCATTGCAAATGAATGGTTTGCATAACACGGAAGACCTATTGGCATGCGAAGTGTTTACCGACGAATGAGAAGTTTTGGCTTGTTTTCATACCGGCCACACTGGGTTCTCCCTTTAACTCGAGAACACCGACGTAATCGCCTTGAGTGGTGCAGACAACGGTTACTCTGGGATCAGGAATGGAACAATATTGTCTTTAGTGACGAGTCTCGATTTTGTTTAGGCATGCACGATGGTCGTGCCAGGGTTAGAAGGCGACGTGGTGAAAGGAGGAATCCACAGTTTTTTGTTGAAAGACATGTTCATCACACTGTTGGAGTTATGGTTTGGGGTGCTATAGCTTATGGTTCCAGGTCACCTTTAATCTTCATCAGAGGTAACATGAACGCGCAGCGTTATATCCACGAAGTTCTAGAACCCCATCTTTTACCCTATCTTGACACCCTGGCAGATCCAACTTTCCAACAAGATAATGCCCGATCACATGTTGCAAAAGTCACAATAGACTTCTTTCAACATAATGATGTCACATTGTCACCATGGCCACCAAGATCTTCCGACTTATCCCCAATTGAGCACGTGTGGGATATGATGGGTAGGAGATTGCTCAATTTGCAACGTCCTCCTCAGACTCTAGAAGCACTTCGAGAGGAGTTGGTGGTTGCCTGGAATGAGATGGGTGTTCGGATTTATATGTCACTTAGTATATATAAACGATCTAACTCTTAACTTGCATTGTTCAAAATTACTGTATGCAGACGACTTGAAAATATATTAGTCAGCAGTAAAGTGCGAATATCAATAATGCCATTTAAAAATTGCCAATAGTTGGCCAACTTTTCCGACAAACTAACACAGTGATCGTAATTAATCGGACTTTTACGTGAGTTTTTCGCCACCCTGGTTGAGACAAAATGCTTAATTCTGAGGGTTTTGGAATCAACCTGGTCCAAAAAAGTTGGTATTTATAGGAATGGCAATTAACTGAATACAATAACCCAGTTTTTCAAAAAAAATCAATGCTGAAAATCTCGAAAACTGTAAGACTTTTAATAAAACAATATTTCACCATCTAGTAGGTCATGACGTGTCCTATCTACATTTTCAGGATTATTGTATGCAAATATATGATTTTTCGCAATTACATAGGAAACCTGAATGCAACCTGCAGGGTCTTTAAATTTCGTTTATATGATATCTGTTACGTTTATTTACAGGTTAAAAGAAAAAAATGATCACACATCCGCATTTTGGTCCCTGGGACTACGTAATTCTGTCCATAGTTCTGCTCATATCTGCATCCATAGGAGTTTACTACAGGCTCACCGGTGGCAAGCAAAAAACAATGCAGGTACCTACTTTGAATTTATATTTTGTATTTATATCAATGCAGAAATTAGCATTTGACATAAAATGTGATGTTTTAGTTTCTATGTTATATTTTCAAACGGCGAAAATTTACAACCAAAACACCTGTGCTGGAATCTCCTGAAAATTATCGGTTTCAAAAAACCTATTTCGTTCCATCGCTTAGGTCATGAGATAATATTTGAATTAAATTTAATTTGATTCAATTCAATTGTAACAAATACTTACAAATGACGAAGGCTGACCATTCGCCATTTCTACAAAAAAATATTGTATTATATACTCACAACAGACTTTCTGAAATGATAAAATGTGTGTAATAAAGTGCTGAAGCATTTTCATAAATTCAAAATGAATTGTCATAAATGCATTCCAAAATATTTCCAAAAACAACAGCCTTTTTGGAAAATAGATTTTTAACAAAATTCTCCGAAGTATTGAACTGATTCTGATCAAAATCTTACTGGCCTCAAAGATATATCGGCTCGTTTTAAGTTTCAGTCAATAGACATACCCAATCTAGGAAAAATAAATAATAATAATAATAATAATAGTCTTTGTGTAGAAATAAATTCTCCACTCTTACATTATTTAACCTATCAGCGTTTGTAAACACAATAAAGAAATTTGTTGCATTTTGAAAACAATTGAAAATGGTAGAATTATGTGGGAAGTCGTTAACGAATATTAATTGTATACATCACGTATTGATTTATAACTACGTAATAAGTTGTATTGTGTTGTGGAATTCTCATAACTTTATAGGTCTAAGGTATCTCTAAAGGCATTTTTTTCTCCAAGATATTGAAGTTTTCCCGTGAGCTGCAACGTATGCGTGGAAATTGAGTTACATTCTATCCATTTTAATATTTGGTAATTTCGGTGTCCAAAACCGATCTATCTGGAAGTATTCGCAATATGTGGCGGCGAATAATACACCTTTGCATATTAGGCATTATTTTCCGACGATGCACATTTTTCAGCGGATGCGGTTTAAGGTATCTATCGATCTATATGGCGCTTACGTCTCGCGTGTATGGCGCTACAGGGTGATCACTCGCGGCAATATGAAAATTGGTATTCGTCGAACACTTTTGTAATGTATCTAAATCTTGACAACACTTTTATGGGAATCAATTAAAGTTGACTGGAAGCTATTTTCCTATCAGGCGCCTTAGTGGTCTTCATGGTTAATTAGGATACGTTTTTCTAAACAGGAATACCTGCTAGCCGACAAAAATATGCCGATAGGGCCGGTAGCCTTTTCACTTATGGCTTCTTTCATGTCAGCCATCACACTGCTGGGCGTATCCAGTGAAAATTACACGTACGGTTTGCAGTTCATCGTAATCAACATTTCCTACGTCCTTGCCACCCCGATTGCGGCGTATTTATTCCTACCTGTGTTCTTCAAACTACAAGCAACAAGCGCTTATGAGGTAGGTGTACTAATACATTCAAAATAATTGCTGAATTTAGTACTAGGCTGCAACAGAAATGTTCCACCTAGAAAAAATAATTTTTTCAACTTGTTTCATCGGCAACATAATGACTATATGTAAAGCATTCTACAGGGTGTCCGCAAAGTTGGGGTTTTCCTTTACACGACGTGTAGATCTTGAAAACATAAGCAATTTTTCTTAGTACCATATACACCAATGTCTTAAGGGAACCGAGATAAAGGGCTCTGCAACATCAAAAATATCTGAATACCGTCCTGTAGCCGCGACCCGCCGCGATATCCCCGACTGGTACCGGCCCCCCGACCACAGAACTGGGTCGGGGTCAGTGTGTCAGGTCAGTATGCAACCTTCAACCGACGGTTACGGTCACGCGTGTAGAGGTAATCGCGTAGACGAGAGTCCCTCAACAAGCACTAGAGACGTGGCTAGAGAAGTGCAAGTATCAAAAACTAAAGTGTGGCAAACGCTGGGCTTCACGTCCAACGTGTACAAGCCCTTCAACCTGACGATTTTTCAGCAAGACTGCGGTTTTGTGAGTGGTTGTTGCTTCAACATGACAATAATCCGGACTTTTTGAAGTGCATATTGGTGACAGACGAATCTACGTTCTCGCGTAATGGGGTGAATAACTTGAAAATCCGCACGCTGTCCGTCGGGCACATTTTCAACAAACATTTTCGGTGAATGTTTGGGCTGGCATGGTGAACGGTATGCTCATTGGACCGTTTATTCTCCCAAATCGATTGGACGGGATGCAATACCTAGACTTTTTACGCAACATTTTGCCTTCCTTGTTAGAAGATGTGCCATTAAGTGTAAGACAATCAATGTGGTTTCTGCGTCTGCTCGGTAGCGCATCAGCTGATTTCGTTTTCTGTTGGAGCGGTATGATTTCGGGCAGAGACGTACTTAGCCCTTCTCGTCAACTGGAGAGTGAATACTTTTTCCTTTATTTTTTTTACTTGGTCGCCCTCGTTTTACTACACATTACCTTTGTTATTTCAAGGGTAGTTGTTTCTGAAAAGGAAAACCCCAACTTTGCGGACACCCTGTATAGTAAGAATGTCAACGTTTTATCTTCGTACCTTTGTGAAAATGTTATCTCTTCCGTCCAAATTATCGCCATATTAGCGACTTTGCCAGGGGAGAATTATTGGTTATAGAGATGTTGGTTTGTCCGATCGCGAAATTGGCCGCCGTGTTAAGTATACCGCATTGACGGTAATGCATGTGTCGTGTGTGGATATCAGAAGGTAGAGGAATACGAGCGTCAAGATCGGCGCTTCAGATAACTATAACCCCAGCTGTGGGGTCTCCCAAAATATTATTAATTTTTTTTTCATGAGGGTGTCATCGTTTAATTCTTGATGTACGACTACCTCATTGCCAAAATATCAAGTTGAAGAAATTATTTTTTCTGGGTGTAACACTTCTGATGTATATTTGGATTATTATCTGGTTTTCTGATCTCCTTATCATAGAGAATTCTGACAATTAACCTCTAATGCAGATCGTTTCCGAAAATATTTCATTGTGTTTTAGTTAAAAAAAGGATTCTTGTTTCAACTGAAATACACGCTCTGCATTTAGAATCAAAAAACAATCGGAACTTATTCAACGAAGTCTCTGACATTTGAGGATTCATTACGTCTTGATATACAATAATAATATAATAATAATAAATACTATATAATGTAATGAAACTAACGCCAACTACAGAGAATACCGACTGTTATAACCAATATAAAAATAAATTTATAGAGCTTGCAAGGCAAACCAAACGAAAACATTACCTAAATAAGTTGAATAATAACTTAAATGATCCTAAGCGGCTTTGGACAACTATTGATGAGATTACTGGGAAAACAAAATTTAAAGAGTGTGTCACTGAGTTAAATACAACATCGGGAACAGCATTAAAAAATACTCAACAGATATGCGATGAATTTGTACAATTCTTTACTGACATAGGCGAAAATTTAGCAAGTAATATACAAGCAAATGTACAAAATACTCCGCCTCCAAAAAGAACTTTGAACTCATTTATTTTGGATAAAGTCGAACAATGTGAAGTATACACCACTGTTATGTCCTTAAAAAATCGGAAAAGTACTGGGTTCGATGGTATTAAAAGCGAGCATTTGAAAATTATAGCCGAGGACATAACAGAACCACTCACTTACCTAATCAACAAATGCTTTGAATCTGGCATATATCCCTCAATTTTAAAAAAAGGTAATATAATACCGATACATAAATCAGGAACAAAAACAGATGTTAACAACTATAGACCAATATCAATAATATCCAGTGTAGCAAAGGTTTTTGAAAAAGTTTTATCTACTAGAATGATTCGATACCTCACAAAATTCAAAATTTTAAGTGAAAATCAATATGGATTTACAGAAGGGAAGGCTACATCGGACGCAATAACTAACATTGTAAATCAAATATATCAAAATATTGATAACAGAATCCCTTCAATCTGCATTTTTGTTGATTTAAAGAAAGCTTTCGACACAGTTAATCACAAATTATTATTAGAAGCATTGGAGAGAATTGGTTTCAGAGGAAACGCGCACTCACTGATCGAAAGTTATTTGTCAAATCGCCCACAATCTGTGCAGATATCAGGATCATTTAGTAAAGAAATGTATATTAAGTGTGGTGTCCCACAAGGAACTGTCTTAGGTCCGCTGTTATTCAATATATATTTAAATGATATTTTCCAAATTAATTGTGTTGGCAAAATAACTAGTTTTGCAGATGATACTGCAATATTATATGAAGGCACTGACTGGTCTGATCTGAAAAATATAATTGAAAATGATTTTATCAAAATTATTCGGTGGTTTAACAGTAGAAAATTAAGCATTAACTACTCTAAAACACATTTTTTACCATTTGGATCTTATGCTAGACATCTGCCAAATTACACAAATTTCTCCTTCAATATTAATGATCAAAAAATGCAAATTAATAGAGTGCCCAACATAAAATACCTTGGAGTGGTCTTGGATCCTCACTTACGATGAGACATCCATGTCAATTATATTTTAAAGAAAGTTAGATTTGTATCCTACAAAATTAAATACCTTGGGAATATATTGACAGAAAAATATCTTCAAACATTATACCATGCACTGATTAAGCCTCATCTCACATATGGTATATTAGCATGGGGAGCTGCATGTTCCTCACATATCTATAATTTAGATGTTTTTCAAAAAGTATTCTAAAAATGATATTTAAAAAACCGAAACTTTATCCCACTGAAAAATTATATGCAGATGTTCGAATGTATGATATAAGACAGCTTTATTTCTTACACAGTATCACTCACTACCATAAATTTGTAAACACCGACCAAAAAATTAAACATAATCATTATACCAGGTACAAAATTCGTGGCACAGTAGTTCCTCAACCGCATAAATCTATAATGCAGCGATCATATCTCTATTTAGCGCATAAATTTTATGAAATTATACCTAAAGACTTAAAAGATTTACGTTTCGGAAATTGTTTCAAAAGAAATTTAAAAAAGTGGCTACATTCTATATCTAGGACTGAAATTCATAAACTCATAAATACGAACATCAACTAAATACATAATCTACTGTAGCTAATTTTTGTCCTTTTTTGTCATTTGCATTCTACAGTTTCAACTTAAATTATTGGTCCATGTACAGGCGATGCCTTCTATTGTTCCTGTTTTGATTTTATATTTATTTACTCATATTGTTTGTTATCTTTGTACATTGAGTAAATAAATATTATTATTATTATTAATGTCATAGCAGACTTAGTTACTATTTGTCCCGAAGTCTGAAAATGGACTAGGCTGGGTATCTTGTACGCAATTTTTATGAAAATTTCAGTACTTAGAAAGAAGATTTGGTAAAACTTCCAGATTGGCAGCATCTCTGTCGTATACTCTACAAATGACCCTGTACATGGGGGTAGTTTTGTATGCTCCATCTCTAGCACTTGAGGCTCTTACTGGAATCAGTCAACTTGCTGCTATCTTGTCTGTTGGTGAGTAATTTGTGAGAATTAAATATAATTTTCCATATAGGTAGTTTTCATTATGCCAATCAAAATCCTTGATACCCTTGCGGAACCCAAAGCACCCAAAGTAGGAATTTTAAAGATATAGGAGGACAGCATATGTGAGTGTTGGCCCCATTGGGACCTTTGATCGCCATTTTGAAAACTACCTGTATGCAAAAGTCAATAAATCTGGCCTAAAGCCATTTTCCATCAGGAAATTGTAGTAGCGGCGATGTTTCAAGCAAAAAAACGAAAAAGGAAAAAGTTTCAGACCGCTTCTGAACCCAGATTTTATGTTTTACTTTTTGATAACGCAATAACAAAAAAATTTTGAAAGGGGCAAAGTTTAGACATTTTAATTTTTATATTATTATTTTGAAGTGCATTTTGGTATTCCCTATATAGGGAGTTTGAAAATAGATGAATGCAAGTTAAGTCCAATTATTGACATCATTTTTCAGGTCTGGTATGTACTTTCTACTCGACCATCGGTGGAATGAAAGCGGTACTGATGACAGACGTATTCCAGTCCATTCTTATGTTTATAGCAGTGTTTAGTGTCATAATATGCGCGGTAGTTGAGAAAGGAAGTTTCGCAGAAGTGTGGAGGATTGCTAGTGAAGGGAATAGGACAAATCTCTTAAAGTAAGTACAGGAATGATAAACGAAAAGACTAAATAAAAGTTGCTGACTAGCAACGAAGGCGGCTGGTAATCATCGAGTGCGACAATTTAGTGATTTCTATGATTAACTAACTACACTTTGACTATTTTACAACTTTTATTTCCCGCGCTGACTGGGAAGTGTTTTCAGTGTAACGAAATTTATATACGAGGGTTGCTTCAAAAATAAGGTTCCCATATTTTTTCAGGCGCAAGTCCTTAAGATAGTTCTGTGTTACTATCATGCAACTTCAGTGCATTCTTTACAAAATAAGTAGCAGCTGACAATAGTAGAATAGATTAAAAAAAATTTGCTAGTTTTGTTAGAGGACAGTCTCGTGCAAATACAAATGATCAAGGTAAATAGTGATGTCTGATCTCAAGCGGTGTTATTGCAATAACTTAAAAGTCCCTTGCCAGATTTTGTGTTTTAGGCTAGAAAATGGGAGCAAGGTTCAATCTCTCAGCGATAAAATGACTTGATGAAATGAATAATAAAAATTGAAGCAGATTCATGTTCTCTTCCAGTAACACTTTTTACACGTTTTCACGAAAAAACGTGTCTACTTACAATTTCATCTGCAACTACGTTAGATTTCTGCTAGATTGTCTGAATTACGAGGGTTGTTTCATTAATACGGTTCCCACTATTTTTTAAGGCCGTCTCGAACCATTGACTAGGTGCTCCGACAATTTCGGAAAATTCTATGTTAAGGCTGCCACGGGATTGGGCAATGACTTCCCAGCTTAATCGCTCGGTCCTTCGTTTGTTGTGAGACATGAGGTCTTACGCTTTGGTAAGGGCTCCATTGCGCATGGCTGTCGAGCCGGTACTGAGCATCGCAAATAGTCGATGGAGGGGTACCCGACCAATATGACGGTGTTGCCAGATTTCGCCTAGCGTCACGCACGGCAAAGATACAGCGTTACAGTATATTCAGATAAGAGATAGACCGGACATAAACAAGACCACGTGATCATCGAACGCGGCAGGGACGTATTAAGAGTGACGCAGTGCATATTATAGATAGTAGATGCTGCTTTGCGTAACTTTGTAGTAAATTAGCACAATTCGATCTGTATACGATTGGTGATGGATATAGGATCATGTGGGGGTGGGGTAAGAAATATATAATGATGTAAATATACATAAGGGTTTCAAAATTTTCGCTTCGATTTCCAGCTTCGGATGCCGCCTGATGTTTGGTGAAATACAGTCGAATATAATCTCAAAATGGCGTTTAAATTAGCCTAAATTAAAAATAATCGTATATCTCTTAAAATTGCTTTTAGAATATTGATTAGTATATTTTTTGATTTCTAGGTAAATATGTAACCAAATTAAAACGTTCAAAACGTAAAAAAATGTGCATGGTTGAACATTGTCAGAAAGTAGATTCTTGAATAGGTTTTGCCAAAATGGGTTCAAAAATGTCAATAATTAATTAAAAAATACAGTAGCTTTATAATTACTTATAACTTACCGAATTTGATGAACGACATCTTTTATTGGAAAGATGAGCTTGATGAGCTTTCATCATCGCTACTGCCTGAAGCACCAACGTCAATAATGAATGGCTCGACTTGTTCCTCTAAAATATTGTCCAGTTCCCACATTCTCTTTTCAACTTTGTCTTTCACGTGCTTAATACAGTTTTTCCATTTTTGCGCTGTTATTAATTCTAGTGCTTCTTTGAAAAGTCCTTTGAGGTCACAAAATTTAAAAGTTGTATTGTGCTTAGCTATATAATTTTTAACCTCTGCCCATATGAGCTCAATGGGATTGAGCTCGCAATGGTATGGAGGTAAACGGAGCACAGTTTTATTTTGACTTGCTGCCATTTCGTCAATGGCGTATTTTTGATATTCCGCCTTGTGATCCTTGACAATTCTTAATAATTGTACTTTCAGCATTGCTTCTTCAAAGTTGATATTTTTCGAGCGGAGCCAATTTTGAACATCAACTTTCCTTGAAGCCGTTGTTGGGACCTTCTCCATTCTTCGAGAATGATAAGGCGCATTATCCAACACAATTACTGCGTTTTCCTCTAAGTTCGGTAAAATTTTTGAAAACCACTGTTCAAACGATTCGCCATTCACTTCCTCGTGGTAATCTCCAGTTTTCTTAGACTCAAAGCACCACATACCGTCAACAACAAATCCATCCTCACTGCCAATATGGCAGATAATGAGCCTTTTCCCTTTACCTGGAAATCGAAGTACTAACTGGTGTAGATTTATTTCAATAAGCGAACCTTTTTCAAATGTTTTCATCACATTCAGCGAAAAAACATTGAGACATGAGTATCAGATTGCTATAATTGGGATTATTTAGTCATATTGAAAGAAAGAATATTGAACGTCGTATGATTACTCAGCGCTTCACAATTTAATTTAAAGTTATAAACCTTTAAAAAATGAATGATCAGGAACCTGAAATACGCGCAAATATTAATATTAACAAATTATAACTTTATAAAGCTTAAAGTATGAATTAAAATGATTAGAAATATTAGGAACGGTACACAATATAAAACTTAGTAACTTTTTTTAAGTTTATAATATTCGACATATTTTAAGATTATATTAAAAAATTATTGAAATATCGAAAACACATAAAAACATGGCTTAAAAAAGATCTAACAAATGAAAATGACAATAAAACATCCACGCATTTTATCGAAAGTTATAAAAGTTTTGTTACTTGTAATATGTTTTATCTGCCCCCTGGAATTAATGTTTAGAACCTTGTTCCCAAGGTTTGAAAAACATCCGATTGTTGTCTATTACTCGTATTTACCTGCTGGATTTTTTAATCCGGTGGACAGTCCATCTAGAAAGGCCCTCCTGGATGAAGTTACAGAATCATCAACCCATACTTTACTTGTAGTGTGTCCTGCGTTTACCCACGTTTCATCAAGGTAATAAATCTTCCTGTTTTGATTTCTATATTTCCCAATTTTTGTTGAATAATCCCTCCTCCATAGCACAATTTCTTCTCTATCCAGTAGTAAACTATTACGACCCCGTTTTTGCCATTTGAAATTTAAATGCTTCAGTAACGCATGGAAAGTTGATCGTTTGAAATTTGGCAACGTTGTATCTCCATTTACCTCCTGCAGTACTTTATCTATAGTAGGTATTTCATTCCTAAAGAAGAATTCATGCACTTTCCTCCTAATCGCATGCTTATCAGCTTCATCCAATGATTTAACAATACTTTTGCGATGTTTACTGGTCATTGGCTCAGAAAAGGTGTGATTTTTTTTGTATTGTCTTAACACATTAAACACTGATGCGCGACACACCCCAACTTTGTGAGAAACCTTCACAACAATTACTTTGACGGTTGATGCCTCGTTCTCCTCGCGCTCGATCTTATATATATTCAAAATGACCTCTTTCATTTCTGCACTCAGGTGTCTTTTTTTAGAGCGTTTCCTAGGTGGACTACAGGAGTTTACAACTTCATCGGCCGTATCTGTACTACTGGGCATTTTGCGCAAGCAGTTGATAACAATAACAATCAATAACAAGGTATAACAATAACAACGACAAACTCAACAACTTAATAAAATAACAAACGAAAACGTCCAAAGAAATATCAAATTGCAATGATGCACACGACATACGTAACACGTCTGAATCTGAATGTGACTCTGCCTTGATACGACTGCTCTGCCGCTCGGCATAGGCATTTAATTGCGAATTGACCAATGAGGGCTCCTGTTTTACGTCGAGACGGCGGCGTTAGCGTGAAAATCACCCGAACCTTTTGTTTACATCCGGTCTATCTCTTATCTGAATATACTGTAGGAACCCTATTTTTGAGACAATCTTCGTATAAAGTCACTGACTTTTTTTTCAGCTTCGATCCGGACCCAACGGTGAGGCACACTTGGTTTACGCTGATAATAGGCGGTGCAGTGACGTATTTATCATTGTACGCCGTAAACCAGACGCAAGTGCAGCGCTACCTGACAGTTAAGGATCTGAAAGCGGCACAGAAGGCACTGTGGTGGAATTGGCCGATTTTAACACTGCTGAGTTTGAGCACATCATTTTCGGGCCTTGCGATATACTCGAGATTTTACAAATGTGATCCGTATGATGCTGGTTATATTACTAGTTTTGACCAGGTGAGCGACTATTTGGGTTTTTTAAGGAGTTAAAGAGCCATGTTTCAGTTTATTGTTGCATAACTTTAAGATTCGATAGAACTTTTAAAATTAATGCATAAAGTCTATATAAACATGGGTCGAAAAATGCGTGGCTTCCGAAATACAGGGTGTTTAAATTTACTTTCTAAAATAGTTTTTTTTAAATATTTCGAACAATATTTGATATATAACAGTGAAAATTGGTATACAAGGGTTTTTTGGTACGAAAAAAACGAACCATGGGCATAGTTTTACTGTAGCCGCTAGAGGGCGCTCTCTACTGTACCTGTAGTGTATTAAAATGACCAAAAATTTTTTCTTAGTGCAATTTTTTGGTTTTTGAACAGAAAAACTGATTCTTCGCACTTTTCAACATAAAAAAGCTCTCATGTGAGTTTTCGTTATAGTTAGCCGTTTTTGAGGTATTTCGATTTTTAAGGTTCGATGCATTTTTAATTATTTATGGGAAAATAATATTTTTTTACATTTTCGATTTGGGCATTACAAGTAATTAAGATGATCGTTTAGATTGTGTTTTTGAACACAGCAATAATTCCTAACTCCAAATAAACACAAAAAACAGAATATTAATTTGTTTAATTTTCCAATATTATATCCGCTAACTCTTGATTGGAGAATAAAAATGGCATTCTTATAAAATTTACAAAAAAACAAACAGGTAAAAGAAACTAAATTTCGTGCATTCACAATTGCAAAAAACGTTTCAGGTTTCAACAGACAACAAAACTAACTGTCAACTAATTGACGTTTAACCTTATTCTGCTTTCAATTTCAGAAATATTGGCAGGCACAGCCTACTTCTAAAAATTATCGAGATACTGACTTTTTAACGTTATTTTATCATAAATAATTAAAAATGCATCGAACCTTAAAAATCGAAATATCTCAAAAACGGCTAACTATAACGAAAACTCACAAGAGAGCTTTTTTATGTTGAAAAGTGCGAACAATCAGTTTTTTTATTCAAAAAGCAAAAAATTGCACTAAGAAAAAATGTTCGGTCATTTTAATACACTACAGGTACAGCAGAGAGCGCCCTCTAGCGGCTATAGTAAAACTATGCCAATGGTTCGTTTTGTCGTACCAAAAAACCCTTGCATACCAATTTTCACTGTTATATATCAAATATTGTTCGGAACATTTAAAAAAAACTATTTTAGAAAGTAAATTTAAACATCCTGCATTTCGGAAGCCACGCATTTTTCGACCCATGTTTATATAGACTTTATGCATTAATTTTAAAAGTTCTATCGAATCTTAAAGTTATGCAACAATAAACTGAAACACCCTGTATAGATATATGCTGTGTGTCATACTTATTCGCAAAGCGGTCTAGAATATTCAGTGTTCAAGGAGCGTCTATAAATGTGACGGTGTTTTGAATATAAATGTCCTAAGTGACAAAAAAAGATAGACACCTACGTATATTTATCCGATTTTAATAATTTTTGGCATATACGTTCAAGGTCCCTTAGTAGTAAAATGATTAAATTTAAACCTTCAATTTTTGCTACTGAAAAATTCCATTCTGCGAATATTATGTTTGCCTTAAAGTTAGAAACAAAGCGTTTTTCATGAAACTGTTTCCCTGTTGAAAAAACAAATTACTTTCAGCTCATGCCATATTACGTGGTAGACACAATGGGTCATATACCGGGCCTGTCAGGACTTTTTGTAGCTGGAATATTCAGCGCCTCGTTATCTACAGTGTCTGCAGCTGTTAACAGTTTGGCAGCTATTACTATCGAAGATTATTTAAAGGTAAATCCGGTAATATCATTACAAGTTACTTATACAGGGTGGCCCAACGACAAGGTCGTACCCCCTTTTGTGACTATATATTTTGGAAAACAAGCTCGGACACGTCAATTTCTAGGGGGGCGTCCTTTCATCTATAGGGTGATACATTTTTAAATCTCCATTTTTTAATTTTTAGATTCTCCATGAGGTTTTTAGTAACTTTTGTACCACATTGATTTACCATTTTATAGCAAATTAATTTTTAAACTGTAAGTTGTTTTTTGTTTTTTTAATACTCGGAGACTTGTTTTTTTTTATTTTAAAGTAAAGTCTTGTTACTATGGGAGCTATATTATTATTTTTACGATATCATCCCTTATTATCAAAATTTCTAGAATTTTATTATAAACTCATAACATTTCATCCCTACTGAGCGAGGGCCGTGGCAAATGCTTGTTCCGGAAGTCGTTGTATCCAGTATACAACTTCTTCCCGTCCAAGTGATTGCGCACGCGTTAAGGAATACCTCAGTACCGATTGCCGGGTGGCGGTACAAGTCCGCCAACGGGCCACTTTAGGTCTATTTAACATCACTAATACGTAAAAAGAAGGTGGTAGACAAGGACCAGTCGACCGAGGCAGTACCACCCGCTAGCTTTTCCCAGGGTGTCTTATAAATGTCCGCATGTTTCCACACCTAAGCTATGCAGTCGGTTATCTACCAAAACAAAGAAATTAATGATGATGGATCCTTCGAGCACTAAAAACTCCGGACGTAAACTCACTCCACTCTCGAAATGTCCGGGTGGAGGGTGGGCTCGAGGGAACAACATCGAAGATAAAATTTGTTTTTCGAACATCTGCGGGATCAACAGCAACATTGATGCTGTTCATCACTACCTGCAATCCAATCGTCCCGCCGTACTTTTCTTGGCGGAGACAAAAATCTCAGAGGCTGCACCGATTAACCATCTCAACTTCCCAAACTACGAGGAGCACTCCAATCTGAGAAAGAAGGGGGGAGTTGTGGCTTTTGTCCGCAGCAGTCTTTCCTGCTCCAGGGATCTTTCTTTGGAATCAGACCGGAAGGACATTCTGTGGCTTCGCCTCAACTCCAAAACATCACCCAAATTTATTTGCTGCCTTTATCGCTCTCCCTCGAACCATAACTGGGATGACCTACTCGAATACCTCGCCGTCCAGATTGACTTCCTGAACATCAATCACCCCGCTTCAGAGGTAGTTCTTCTCGGTGATTTCAATGCGCATAATGAGCTTTGGTTGGGCTCAAATAAGACCGATGCAGCAGGTCGTGCAGTCGAAGCGTTCGCTCTTACTCAAGGGCTGACCCAGCTGGTGACGAGCCCTACTTTTTTTCCCCGCGTCTCGTCACACGCCAGTAGCCTGCTGGATCTCTTTCTGACCACGCATCCTGCCCCTTACAGCACTGCTGTCCTGTCCCCCCTGGGTAACTCAGATCACGGTGTTGTGGAGGTTAGGTTTCGGTCAGAAGCCGCTGTGGCAGCAGAAACTCGCACAGGCCGCAAAACTTGGCATTACGGACATGCCGACTGGGAGGGGCTCAGAGACTTCTTCTCTAGCTTTCCTTGGAGAGATGTCTGTTTCACTGACGCGGATGCGTCGACTGTCTGTTCTTCAATAACCGAAATTATCCACGTCGGAATGGAGGAATACATCCCTCACACAGTGAAAGTTCCTAAACCAGGGCCCAACGGCTGGTTCAACAAATCGTGTGACACTGCTCGCCAGCAGAAGATCAAGGCCCACAGAACCTACTTACAAAACCCCACTGTAGAGAACAGACAAGCCGACGTCGCCTCCAGAAACAAATATAACGAAGCGGTTCGCAATGCCAAAAACCAGCATGATATAAAAGTTAGGCACAGGGTAATGTCGCAGCGCAATGGCAGTCGGTCTTTCTGGACGCTGGCCAAGCAGATTGAAAAGAACTTCTCACACAGTAGCCTTCCACCACTTACGTGTCAGGATGGAACTATTGTATTCGACTCAAAGGCCAAGGCGGAAGTGCTAGCCAAGATCTTTGCTGCCAACTCTTCCATGGACGTCCCCACCAACGCCCAAGTGCCGTCAATTCAAAGGGTTCCCCACACTATGCGAGAGGTAACATTCAGGCGAGTGCTCTTGTCGCTCGACATCAACAAAGCTTCTGGTCCGGACTTGATTCCTGCCATTGTACTGAAGAGATGTGCAGCGGAGCTTGCTCCAGTTCTTTCGCGTCTCTTCCAGATATCTTATGAATCCGGCACCTAACCTGAAAACTGGAAATTTGCTCATGTATACGTACAGCCCATCCCAAAAAAAGGATCTAAAACCGACCCTTACAACTACAGACCTATAGCTCTGCTTTCTGTTATAAGTAAAGTGATGGAGAGGTGCATAAATCGCGAGCTTCTAGACTACCTTGAACGTCACAGCTTGATTAGCGACAGGCAGTACGGTTTCCGGCACCAACGATCCACAGGGGACCTCCTAGCTTACGTCATGCAACTGTGGAGTAAACTCATCCAGTCTCATGGTGAGGCTCATGTCGTTGCTCTTGACATCACGAAAGCGTTCGATCAGCTGTGGCACGCTGCCCTCTTAAGCAAACTTCCATCCTACGGCCTCCCAGAAAAGCTGTGCAGATGGGTGGCTGACTTTATCTCTGGCCGCAAGATATCCGTCGTAATTGACGGATTCTCCTCTTCATCCCACAACGTCAACGCGGGTGTTCCCCAGGGATCGGTCTTGGCTCCAACACTGTTTCTCTTACATATCAACGACCTCCTTTCCTGCACGATCAACCCAATCCACAGCTTCGCTGATGACAGCACTTTACATGCAGGAATTCAGAGTGACAAGCCGATGTCTGCCGCTGAGCTGGAAAAAAGAAGACTAGCGACGACTTCTTCTCCGACAAGAGACCTGGAAGCTATCACTGCTTGGGGACGCAACAATCTTGTACAGTTCAATGCTTCCAAAACACAGTACTGTACTTTGACGAACGAAAAGCGTCCTAGCGCTCATACAGTTTCGATGGACGGTCGAGTTCTACCAAAGAGCCATTCATTTCGGCTGGTCGGAGTCCAGATCACCGAGGACCTGATCTGGCACGAACACATATCTTCAATAGCTGCAGCTGCTGGGAAAAAGCTGGGCTATTTGTTTAGGGCTAAGAAGTACTTTTCTCCGCATGACCTTCTCACTCTATACAAGGCCCAGATAAGGTCTAGCCTCGAGTATTGCTCACACATTTGGGGTGCTGCCGCCCCGACTACATTGTCCATGCTCGATGCTGTCCAGAGGAGGGCGGTCCGACTGATCGATGACTCTTCTCTAACAGACAGTCTCGGGACTCTTTCGCACCGGCGGGCCGTCGGCGATCTAGCTCTTTTCTATCGCTACACCAACGGGCTTTGCTCCTCAGAGCTCTCTTCCATGATGCCGCCGCGCGATGTGCCTGCCAGACAGACCCGCCTGACTTCGGCGTCCCATCCTAACCGTGTCAAACTTCGTACATCCAGAACTGGCCGATACGACCGCTCCTTTGTTCCGAGGGTGTCTAGATTGTGGAACAATCTACGGGAGGAAGCTTTTCCCAGTTCTACTAACCTTAGGCAGTTCAAAAATCGTATTAACAAAATTTCTTTGGGATCATCATAGCAGCCGCGGTGTTTCGGCATTTAGGCTTCTGCCTGCGCGGCTGTTTCGATATAAAAAAAAAAAAAATAAGGGTGCCCTTTTCGTTGGACCGCCCTGTATACTGGGTACCAAAATCGTGCCCCGCTATTTTGAAAGTTTGTTTTCGAATGATAACGATGAAATTAACATTTTTTCATAAACATTTTCTTCGGGATCTCAAGGCAAAGTCGCATATTTGTGGTTCGAAAAACAAGGTCAAGATGAACTCTCGAAACATGCAGGTGATTAAATTTGACGCCCAAGGCATTTCCAAATATTTCAAAAAACAACTTTAACCTAGTTTTTTTGTTTTAGCCATTGTATAGAGCAGTATTTAAAACTCATCTCCCGGAGAGCAGGGAAAGTATGATAACAAAAATAACCTCACTGGCATACGGATTCGTATGTCTAGCGGTAGCTTTCATGGCGAAATATTTGGGCAACGTACTTCAAGCATCCCTTACCATTTTTGGCGTCATAGGTGGACCACTGTTAGGGCTTTTCTCTCTAGGAATGTTCACTACTACTGCCAATGAAGAGGTAAGGCAAAGCTGATAATGATAAATCTCAATATATTCTGGCAACAAAAATTTAAGATAAACAACCCTCACCCTCAAGTTGTTTTACCTCTAAAATTTGAAGGAATAAGTTTTGCTTTCCGTCTCCTGTATCTATGACCAACCGCAGACAGCGCTGTTTCGAGCTCACTAGCGACTCATCGGTGTAGTATTGGTCTTAGGTCTGGTCTTGGGAACAGACGAAACGGGAAGCAGACAAGTGACATGTTATGTTATTTCTTTAGGGTGCTGTATTTGGTTTAACCACCGGGATAGTGTTATCACTGTGGATGGCATTCGGTAAACATCCACCTCCTGATACTTTGCCAAGGACTACTCAAGGCTGTGATATATTGAACAGAGCATACTCAAATCATTCTACGCATTTACATTCCGAAGACCAAAGGTAAGATTTTATAAAAAAATGTCTGATGCATATATGACTATATATTTCCTAATGTTCATACGTCTCCTCCAGTCGTTTAAAAGCATTATTGCCGTTTCAGTTGAGTTTTCTTCCTGAATCCAGCTTGAAATTTGGTTAAAATTCTATTTCCCTCCATGATCTGTTCGTAAATAACGTCTCCAAAGACTTTTTCAACATCTGGCAGAACATTTATTGGCCGCATATTAGTGTACAACTCCCGAAACAGAAGTTATGGTAGAACACTTCATTTTTGTTGAAAATTCGACATATTTTAAACAGTAATTTGTCAGGATTAATATCCTTGCTCCAATAATATCAAAACATTCACTAAACACTTTTTTAGACAAAATCTCACTCTTTTTTTCATTTGATTTCAACTTTGATATAATCTATATTCAGGGTCCGAAAAGCAAGAGAGAAGCGAAAAACATCGCACGCCCATGGATACCGGCGCGCCGACTTTGGCATAGGCGTACGATGTGTTTCACTGATCTTTTCCTGTTCGATTTCCGAGTATAGTTGAAACGTGTAAGGACGTGTCGTTTTGAAAAATCAGATAATTTCGTTCAAATAACTACGGAAATGTACGGTTCCCTATCTCAAAAAAGTTTAACACAATTTCAAGCAACCAAAATTTCTTTGTCTCGCATTTAATCTGTCTCATGCTACTTGTTTGTGAATTCAAATGTTGTTAGCAAAGTTTCTTAACTTAACAATTTTGTGAGTAATTTATCGCTGTCAGTAGTTTCAAACGCCCTTTTGAAATCCAAGAGCACTGTCACTATATATTCCCTAATGTTCATGCATCTCCTCCAGTCGTCTGAAAGCATTATTGCGGTTTCAGTTGAGTTTTCTTCCTGAATCCAGCTTGAAATTTGGTTAAAATTCTATTTCCCTCCATGATCTGTTCGTAAATAATTTCTCCAAAGACTTTTTCAACATCTGGCAGAATATTTATTGGCCGCACATTAGTGTACAACTCCCGAAACAGAAGTTATGGTAGAACACTTCATTTTTGTTGGAAATTAGCCATATTCTAAACAGTAATTTGTCAGGATTAATATCCTTGCTCCAATAATATCAAAACATTCACTAAACACCCTTTTAGACAAAATCTCACTCTTTTTTTCATTTGATTTTAACTTTGATATAATCTATATTCAGGGTCCGAAAAGCAAGAGAGAAGCGAAAAACATCGCACGCACATGGATACCGGCGCGCCGACTTTTGCCAAGTCGAAAAGACGGCATAGGCGTGCGATGTGTTTCGCTGATCTTTTCCTGTTCGATTTCCGAGTATAGTTGAAACGTGTAAGGACGTGTCGTTTTGAAAAATGAGACAATTTCGCTCAAATAACTACGGAAATGTACGGTTCCCTATCTCAAAAAAGTTTAACACGATTTCAAGCAACCAAAATTTCTTTGTCTCGCATTCAATCTGTCTCATACTACTTGTTTGTGAATTCAAATGTTGTTAGAAAAGTTTCTTAACTTAACAATTTTGTGAGTAATTTATCGCTGTCAGTAGTTTCAAACGCCCTTTTGAAATCCAAGAGCACTGTCACTATATATTCCCTAATGTTCATGCATCTCCTCCAGTCGTCTGAAAGCATTATTGCGGTTTCAGTTGAGTTTTCTTCCTGAATCCAGCTTGAAATTTGGTTAAAATTCCATTTCCCTCCATGATCTGTTCGTAAATAATTTCTCCAAAGACTTTTTCAACATCTGGCAGAACATTTATTGGCCGCACATTAGTGTACAACTCCCGAAACAGAAGTTATGGTAGAACACTTCATTTTTGTTGGAAATTAGCCATATTTTAAACAGTAATTTGTCAGGATTAATATCCTTGCTCCAATAATATCAAAACATTCACTAAACACCCTTTTAGACAAAATCTCACTCTTTTTTTCATTTGATTTCAATTTTGGTATAATCTATATTCAGGGTCTGAAAAGCAAGAGAGAAGCCAAAAACATCGCACGCCCATGGATACCGGCGCGCCGACTTTGTCAAGTCGAAAAGATGGCATAGACGTGCGATGTGTTTCGCTGATCTTTTCCTGTTCGATTTCCGAGTATAGTTGAAACGTGTAAGGACGTGTCGTTTTGAAAAATCAGATAATTTCGTTCAAATAACTACGGAAATGTACGGTTCCCTATCTCAAAAAAGTTTAACACAATTTCAAGCAACCAAAATTTCTTTGTCTCGCGTTTAATCTGTCTCATACTACTTGTTTGTGAATTCAAATGTTGTTAGCAAAGTTTCTTAACTTAACAATTTTGTGAGTAATTTATCGCTGTCAGTAGTTTCAAACGCCCTTTTGAAATCCAAGAACACTGTCACTATATATTTCCTGATGTTCATACGTCTCCTCCAGTCGTCTAAAAGCATTATTGCCGTTTCAGTTGAGTTTTCTTCCTGAATCCAGCTTGAAATTTGGTTAAAATGCTATTTCCCTCCATGATCTGTTCGTAAATAATTTCTCCAAAGACTTTTTCAACATCTGGCAGAACATTTATTGGCAGCATATTAGTGTACAACTCCCGAAACAGAAGATATGGTAGAACACTTCATTTTTGTTGGAAATTAGCCATATTTTAAACAGTAATTTGTCAGGATTAATATCCTTGCTCCAATAATATCAAAACATTCACTAAACACCCTTTTAGACAAAATCTCACTCTTTTCATTTGATTTCAACTTCGATATAATCTATATTCAGGGTCCGAAAAGCAAGAGATAAGCGAAAAACATCGCACGCCCATGAATACCGGCGCGCCGACTTTGCCAAGTCGAAAAGATGGCATAGGCGTGCGATGTGTTTCGCTGATCTTTTCCTGTTCGATTTCCGAGTATAGTTGAAACGTGTAAGGACGTGTCGTTTTGAAAAATCAGATAATTTCGTTCAAATAACTACGGAAATGTACGGTTCCCTATCTCAAAAAAGTTTAACACAATTTCAAGCAACCAAAATTTCTTTGTCTCGCATTTAATCTGTCTCATACTACTTGTTTGTGAATTCAAATGTTGTTAGCAAAGTTTCTTAAGTTAACAATTTTGTGAGTAATTTATCGCTGTCAGTAGTTTCAAACGCCCTTTTGAAATCCAAGAACACTGTCACTATATATTTCCTAATGTTCATACATCTCCTCCAGTCGTCTAAAAGCATTATTGCCGTTTCAGTTGAGTTTTCTTCCTGAATCCTGCTTGAAATTTCGTTTAAATTCTATGTCCCTCCATGATCTGTTCATAAATAATTTCTCCAAAGACTTTTTCAACATCTGACAGAACATTTATTGGCCGCATATTAGTGTACAACTCCCGAAACCGAAGTTATGGTAGAACACTTCATTTTTGTTGGAAATTAGCCATATTTTAAACAGTAATTTGTCAGGATTAATATCCTTGCTCCAATAATATCAAAACATTCACTAAACACCCTTTTAGACAAAATCTCACTCTTTTTTCATTTTATTTCAATTTTGATATAATCTATATTCAGGGTCCGAAAAGCAAGAGAGAAGCGAAAAACATCGCACGCCCATGGATACCGGCGCGCCGACTTTGTCAAGTCGAAAAGACGGCATAGGCGTGCGATGTGTTTCGCTGTTCTTTTCCTGTTCGATTTCCGAGTATAGTTGAAACGTGTAAGGACGTGTCGTTTTGAAAAATGAGACAATTTCGCTCAAATAACTACGGAAATGTACGGTTCCCTATCTCAAAAAAGTTTAACACGATTTCAAGCAACCAAAATTTCTTTGTCTCGCATTTAATCTGTCTCATACTACTTGTTTGTGAATTCAAATGTTGTTAGCAAAGTTTCTTAACTCTTCTTTCTGATTGCAGTGACTATTTTTGGTTGTACAGAGTATCCTACCTCTACAATGGCGTGCTAGGGCTTGTATCAACTGTGCTCGTTGGTTATATCGCTAGCATTCTGATCGATAAGTGCCTCAGGCGACAGAAAAGGATTTACGATCCAAATCTCTTTGTTCCTCCATTGGAAAAGTGGATGCGGAAGAAATTACTAGAAAAACAGGGGAACCTCAACATGACAGAGTCGTCTGGATCTAGTGATGATTTGAAAAATGGCCTAAGGACTATTAGACAGTATTAAAACAAACCAGTTTGGTGAAATAGTGTAATATTTTATTGTTACTTGGCAGCACTCGTATATTCTTACTGTGTAGATATCTGTAAAGCAAGGTCTTCTCTATTTGGTGGGTACTTAACGAATGATAGTCTGATGTACTTAGTGCCACCATAGCACTGCATTCTTTAATAGTATGTAACGACAGAGACGACTAATAACTGCCAAGCTTAACGGCCTTGCTTAGTAGTTATTAACTATTTGTTCGGATTATTTATTTTGTACATTTTTATACTAAACAGACAGACGACTGATAATAAAAAATATTTATAGCCCTTTTGGTGCGAAGTGGTCGTATGATGAGCAACAGACTACTTGTCGTCGATTTGGAAACGTATTTTAAAATATTTGGCTGACGTTAGAAATGTTGGGTATTTAGCGAGAGTCTTTTGTATTTATTATAACAAAATATTGAACACGTACTTTTTGTTGCAAAACCACTAATTATTAGATTATACTTGGCTTGTTTGCACAATTTGGTGCAAGAAGGCATTTTACGTATTGAGTAAGCAAGTAGTATCTTGCAAAACGTCTTTAAAAAAGATCTCACCATACGTGTTGAAAAAGCTATGAAAATTTTTATTAACTTGAGTTTAACACATTTTTTGCAGCTCAGGGTATGTGATGAATAAAAATCTGTAGTGTTAGGAATAGGAATATGTCTTCCATTTGAAAAAAAAATGTTTTAATTCCTTGTTACGAGGGACAATAAATTAGTTATATTTTTCTTTGTTTTTTTTCTTTGACCCTATTCTACTAAAGTCTTTGAAGCTGGATTCAGGAAAAACAATCAACCGAAACAGCAATACAAATGGTTTTAGAGGACGAAAATAGGAAACATTCAGTGACAGTGTTTTTAAATTTAAAAATGCCGTTTGAAACTATTGACAGAAATTAATTACTTACCGAATTGTATTACTATGGATTTGAAGGACCTGTATTCAAAATTTCACAAAACTACTTGATTGACAGAAGTCAAAAACCAAAATTTTATCTACACTATCAAGCTCAAAAAATATTTCTGTTGGTATACCACAAGGTAGTAAACTAGGTCCACTACGAATTATTTTATATATTAATCATATTGGCAAAATTTTAATTTATTCTAAAATTCAGATATTTGCAGATGATACATTAATATACAATATCAGATGAAAATTTAGACACTGATTTAGAAATGCTAAATTTTGACTGTTCAAAAATCATAAATTGGTTAAATATAATAAACTAAAATTGAATGCTTCTAAAACAAAATATATGCTAATAGGGAAATACCTATTAAAAAATCATATTTAGGATAAATGATGAAATAATTGAAAATGTTGAATCACTTAAGCATTTAGGAACATATATTGATAGTAATCTAAAGTTTGAGGATCACTATTTCAAAAAATGCAAAAAAAATAAAATTACTTTCATAGGGCTTCTCATAGTCTTAGTACACATTCAAAAAAAAATAGTTTACAATACAATTATTCTACCGCATTTACTATATTGTTCGACTACCTTGTTCACTGCCAATTAAGCTGTATTCTCAAAATTAGAAGTCCAGCAAAATAAAGCTATGTATTGGATTAAAATAAGTACACCCAAAATAAAATCTATGTTACAAGAATTGCAGTGGTTGAATATAAAAAAATTTACAAAATTTAGAACAAACACTACATAGACATGAATAGTCATTACCACAATTATTAAACAAGAAGAAATATAAATTTGTATTTACAAAATTATAATAGCAATATAGCTAGCAAATCAATATTCCAGAAAAGATTTAATAAACTAAATATTTATATAAAGTCTACTTGTAATTTGAAATTATTTAGAAGAAAATTAAAGGAATATTCCATGAGCAGTGAAAATTCTTAGAGATGCAAATGTTTTTCTAAATATCTGTATGTTATGTAATTGTTGTAGTTTTGTAAAAGAATTTAATTGTAGCAAGGATGCTAGATAAATTTTAAACAAACAAGCAGCTGTGGAAGAGAGTATCGTAATCTATCATGCGCTATTGTTAATGTCTCTGAATACGACGAGATCTGCAGCATGTAGGTACACAATGGCAAAAATAAAATACAACCTTACAAGATCTCATAACTTTTATATTTTACTCTAATTTTACATTCATTTACACTTAACGATAAATAATAATTTACTTATGTTAATCAAGTTCACATTTCCTTTGTGTAAAACTCTCAGTCAGCAGCTATAGAGTGTATACGACGCCGAGTGACTATAAACCTAAATTGCTTCAATTAATATACATATACATTATCTGGAATGTCGGGACTATAACAACTATATTAAGTATTTGCTGCCGCTTATAAGCTCATTACGGGAAACATATACAATAAGTAACTAGACATTTGTTAAATGGAAGCTGTATATTGAGAGAAGTTTATATACAATGCTTTAGCTAACTTTTACGGCCATATCGTCACTTATTCCTACAATTAAAAGAAAGATTTCTACTGTTCCGTGTCAGCGCTCCGATTTGAGGTTATGTTACAAATATCTATTTGCATCAAACTGTTCATGCTTTTGATCTATATCATCTGTCATATCAGCCTGAAATGTTCTGCAATTCAAAAAGAAAACATAACCTTATAATAGGAGAGAGCACGGAACACTAGAAATCCAGAAATATCCCAACATTTCTGTTGGAGAGAAAATACTATGAAAATCAAGTACGTCCTGGGATTATAGGAACGACTGACGATACGGTCTGAAATCTTTCCAGGTGCCGAGGGTGTTGCCTTTAAACAACAGTAATGTTCTATCATCGAATTTCCAATGGTTTGACTTGACTTGACTTGACGCACAAACCTAGTTAGGGATTATCCAATGCTTGGTTTGAAAACTGGTCGAAACAGTACACAGGATTTTGACGGCACACGAAGTTTCTGACATGCGCAGATTGCACAAGATTATGTTTTTGTTATGGATGGCTTATGATTGAGGTTATGGTTTTTGAATTGCCTTGGGGAGTTTGCGTCTTTCTTATTTTCATCTACAACACTGTCATTTAAAAAGATCGAAGCCAGATAACCACTCTTATAAAATTTGATGTGTACTATTTCTTTATTGTGTATCGCTCATAGAAATGTTAAATTTTCGTAGTTGTCAAACTGTTGGAAATATGATGCAAGAACATAACGAAACATAATTCTCCATAGAACAGATACTGTTTTTATTCAAGCGATATTGTTGAGGTGCTTTGAAAAAATTGCACTGTCTCAGGAAATATTTTCGCATAATCCTCGTACAAGGAAGAACGAGTTTCGCCGCTATCATGATTTAGAACTAATTATTGTAGCGTATTAAAAATATCGCGTGACTTCTACCGCAATGCAAATATTATAAGTGCGTTGACGTTTTTACTGTCAAGCATCCTAAAAAATCATTATCATCAGAAAGTCAATCAATATCACTTTCAAATGCATCTTATCGAAATTCCCGCCAAACAACAAACAATTGGCTTAGAACAAAGTTCCGACGAAATTGTACATTTCAGTATCAAAATGGAACAGAGTAGCATAACTCATCGTACGTCTCTGTGTACCAGTGGCGTACGGTGCATTATGCTATTTTCTTCTATCTTGGTACTTGATGATAGAACATGTACACAGAAACAGACACTGAAATAAATAGATATCTATCTATCCAACAACAAAGATATTCTATTAAATGCGTAACCAGAAAAGTGTATGCTAAATATACGATATTTTATCTCTTCCGAGTACGTAAGCATATTGAGCACAATAAATGACATTTTTCGTTACTAATAACTGTAACATATGGATAAGCAACCTTTCTGGTGCGTCATACGTAATCAGAAGTTTCCTCTTAGTTAGAATATAGGTCCTAGTTACGCCCTTATTATCTAGAAGCAAAAAATGTCACAGCACTTTCTTTGAATCAAACTAACGCTTTATAGGCTCCATAAAAATACATCTTAACCTAAATTGTTTTCTTAAATCTAGTGACTAGAGTTCGACTCGGTGGATTTTTTCGTAAAAATCCTTATAATGGATAAAGTAACAAGATGAAATGATAAATATTTAGGACTAATCAACAAATAAATAGAAATCTGAAAATTCCGTTTTCAAAAATGAACGATACAAGTAAAGCAAAAAAGGTTTTAAAACCACAATTTTCCAAAAAATATGCAAAGTACTTGCCCAATGACTTCCAAAAAATACTGTCTTATTAGTTATTTGAAAAAAATGATCAATTCATATTGAAAATGGAATCGTTAAACATACACAACAATAAATACATATACACGTAACATTTACTTAAAGAATGACTAGAAGATTTTCTTTGGTGATCCTAGCTGTATGACATACAATGACAGTCAGTTTGAGACTAATTTACAATTATGATATGTATAAAATCATAAAACGCATCACAACGAAACTGGTAAGCAATGTGATTGTTAGGATTGAAAACGTCTTGTAATCGATAGTAGAGATGAAATACCCTTACACCTTACTATGTCACAGATACTTTGATTTAAGCTAAATACTTTTTCGGTTACCAAAGTTGTGTTGTATTCAAGCAACTAATTTTGTACAATGGATCAAGAAAAGCATACATGTATGCATTGTGTTTTGCTGCTTAGATATAAATCATACAAAGTATTCGACTAATATTTATTCTATATTCAATTTCTGATTACTATCCAAGCTTTCTTATATATCGTGAGGCTTCCAGCTTTATTTTAATATGTAGATATTCTACTAAATTATACAAATACGTAAGAATGAGTTTATTATGTAGGTAAGTAAGGCATAGTGGTATTGCTGCAGGATATAAGTATCTATCGGATAAATAATAAAATTTTCTTATTCTTACTGTATGGCTACAGTATATTCAGATAAGAGATAGACCGGATGTAAACAAAAGGTTCGGGTGATTTTCACGCTAACGCCGCCGTCTCGACGTAAAACAGGAGCCCTCATTGGTCAATTCGCAATTAAATGCCTATGCCGAGCGGCAGAGCAGTCGTATCAAGGCAGAGTCACATTCAGGTTCAGACGTGTTACGTATGTCGTGTGCATCATTGCAATTTGATATTTCTTTGGACGTTTTCGTTTGTTATCTTATTAAGTTGTTGAGTTTGCCGTTGTTATTCTTATACCTTGTTATTGATTGTTATTGTTATCAACTGCTTGCGCAAAATGCCCAGTAGTACAGATACTGCCGATGAAGTTGTAAACTCCTTGTAGTCCACCTAAGAAACGCTCTAAAAAAAGACACCTGAGTGCAGAAATGAAAGAGGTCATTTTGAATATATATAAGATCGAGCGCGAGGAGAACGACTCATCAACCATCAAAGAAATTGTTGTGAAGGTTTCTCACAAAGTTGGGGTGTGTCGCGCATCAGTGTTTAATGTGTTAAGACAATACAAAAAAAATCACACCTTTTCTGAGCCAATGACCAGTAAACATCGCAAAAGTATTTTTAAATCATTGGATGAAGCTGATAAGCATGCGATTAGGAGGAAAGTGCATGAATTCTTCTTTAGGAATGAAATACCTACTATAGATAAAGTACTGCAGGAGGTAAATGGAGATACAACGTTGCCAAATTTCAAACGATCAACTTTCCATGCGTTACTGAAGCATTTAAATTTCAAATGGAAAAAACGGGGTCGTAATAGTTTACTACTGTATAGAGAAGAAATTGTGCTATGGAGGAGGGATTATTTAACAAAAATTGGGAAATATAGAAATCAAAACAGGAAGATTTATTACCTTGATGAAACGTGGGTAAACGCAGGACACACTACAAGTAAAGTATGGGTTGATGATTCTGTAACTTCATCCAGGAGGGCCTTTCTAGATGGACTGTCCACCGGATTAAAAAAGGTATATTAAAGGTAAATACGAGTAATAGACAACAATCGGATGTTTTTCAAACCTTGGGAACAAGGTTCTAAACATTAATTCCAGGGGGCAGATAAAACATATTACAAGTAACAAAACTTTTATAACTTTCGATAAAATGCGTGGATGTTTTATTGTCATTTTCATTTGTTAGAACTTTTTTAAGCCATGTTTTTATGTGTTTTCGATATTTCAATAATTTTTTAATATAATCTTAAAATATGTCGAATATTATAAACTTAAAAAAAGTTACTAAGTTTTATATTGTGTACCGTTCCTAATATTTCTAATCATTTTAATTCATACTTTAAGCTTTATAAAGTTATAATTTGTTAATATTAATATTTGCGCGTATTTCAGGTTCCTGATCATTCATTTTTTAAAGGTTTATAACTTTAAATCAAATTGTGAAGCGCTGAGTAATCATACGACGTTCAATATTCTTTCTTTCAATATGACTAAATAATCCCAATTATAGCAATCTGATACTCATGTCTCAATGTTTTTTCGCTAAATGTGATGAAAACATTTGAAAAAGGTTCGCTTATTGAAATAAATCTACACCAGTTACTTCGATTTCCAGGTAAAGGGAAAAGGCTCATTATCTGTCATATTGGCAGTGAGGATGGATTTGTTGTTGACGGTCTGTGGTGCTTTGAGTCTAAGAAAACTGGAGATTACCACGAGGAAATGAATGGCGAATCGTTTGAACAGTGGTTTTCAAAAATTTTACCGAACTTAGAGGAAAACGCAGTAATTGTGTTGGATAATGCGCCTTATCATTCTCGAAGAATGGAGAAGGTCCCAATAACGGCTTCAAGGAAAGTTGATGTTCAAAATTGGCTCCGCTCGAAAAATATCAACTTTGCAATGCTGAAAGTACAATTATTAAGAATTGTCAAGGATCACAAGGCGGAATATCAAAAATACGCCATTGACGAAATGGCAGCAAGTCAAAATAAAACTGTGCTCCATTTACCTCCATACCATTGCGAGCTCAATCCCATTGAGCTCATATAGGCAGAGGTTAAAAATTATATAGCTAAGTACAATACAACTTTTAAATTTTGTGACCTCAAAGGACTTTTCAAAGAAGCACTAGAATTAATAACAGCGCAAAAATGGGAAAACTGTATTAAGCACGTGAAAGACAAAGTTGAAAAGAGAATGTGGGAACTGGACAATATTTTAGAGGAACAAGTCGAGCCATTCATTATTGACGTTGGTGCTTCAGGCAGTAGCGATGATGAAAGCTCATCAAGCTCATCTTTCCAATAAAAGATGTCGTTCATCAAATTCGGTAAGTTATAAGTAATTATAAAGCTACTGTATTTTTTAATTAATTATTGACATTTTTGAACCCATTTTGGCAAAACCTATTCAAGAATCTACTTTCTGACAATGTTCAACCATGCACATTTTTTTACGTTTTGAACGTTTTAATTTGGTTACATATTTACCTAGAAATCAAAAAATATACTAATCAATATTCTAAAAGCAATTTTAAGAGATATACGAATATTTTTAATTTAGGCTAATTTAAACGCCATTTTGAGATTATATTCGACTGTATTTCACCAAACATCAGGCGGCATCCGAAGCTGGAAATCGAAGCGAAAATTTTGAAACCCCTATGTATATTTACATCATTATATATTTCTTACCCCACCCCCACATGATCCTATATCCATCACCAATCGTATACACATCGAATTGTGCTAATTTACTACAAAGTTACGCAAAGCAGCATCTACTATCTAAAATATGTACTGCGTGACTCTTAATACGTCCCTGCCGAATGTTACAGCGTTCGATGATCACGTGGTCTTGTTTATGTCCGGTCTATCTCTTATCTGAATATACTGTAGGTAGTATGGCTAAAGGGTTAACAAAACATATTACATGACTTACGTATTTTTACCTGTTTCCACCAGTAATTCTTATCTAATTATAATGTCACAGTAACTACTCCAAAATATTGGTCGTTTGTTGCTGACCATATATTCTATAGATAGTAATAACTTAATAAAATAGCGTAGCATATGAGGTACGCTTTTATATTGTCTCTTTGGTTATTTGACCATTTTCGCAAACGCTTTTGCATAGCTTTTAATATATTTCTTTTATTACGTATACTTAAAATCTAAGTTATGCTATTCTATCAACGGGTGCATGACCCTATTCCTTGGTATGACTAGGCTTCATGATATATAGGTACATATGTACAATTTACATCAGTCTTAAACTATACTTTTCTCTCTATAATCATCAAGCGCCTGGAACAATTAGGTGTGCAATTTTTATTTTTACATATGGTAATTCTATATTATACATATTACACGATTACTTATGGTATGTCTTTTACATCGATAATATTTTTAATAATCAGATGCTTATACGTATTCCATGAAAATTTGCTATTTTGATGTCTACAATTTAAAATAGTGACAGAGACCGTTTGAGTTCTGTGATGGGATACAGTTCTCTTATACATAGGTGTGATATTGATTTTAACAATTGAACATACGCAAGTTATACTGACTCACCATTTGTTTTTACTTATAACTCGAACAGTTCTATAGAAAAAATCAGTTATAGAACAATTCATTTACAGTCTAAGCGTCCACTATTATATAACGACACCGATTCACTGATATAGAATATGTGTCAAGGACTAACGTCTCCACTGACAGCATCACAACCTTTAGCTTTCCTCCAGACTTTCACTCTATATTGTGAACATTCTGACAATATTCGTTCACCTTGACTGAAAGCATTTTATCGAACAACAAATTACACAACGTAGAATAAACATAAATACGCGCGTTATGTGTATATTATGTACGTGTGAAGTTTTTGGCGATAGTCATCCTGTAGTAGTTGAAATGAACATACAGTTCGAGCATGTCCACAATGAAACTCAACTATCATGAATTGCATGACAGATAGACATACACGTTGCAAAATATTATCTATATATCGTTATATTTCTAGGGTGAGGCCTCCGTTAGTTCAGTTGAGACATATCCTAGGATTATTTTCTTATAATAGCTGTACAGTTTGCTTGCTAGAAAATTGACAGCTACTTTAGTCGCTATCGGAGCTTGATTCCTCTGGGACAGGAGCTGGTGCAGGTGTAGGTTCTGGGGTGGCGGCAGGCTTGGTGACGTAGGTTGCTGCTGCATACGGATTGGGGTTCTCCCCTTCGGTATGTTCGATACCAACCCTGAATGGAGAAATGTTTGGTCACTAACAGTCTAAAATCAAATAACAACTGTGCGGAAATCTCTACTAAAAACGTGCTGAAAAACTGTTTCGAAATTTTGGGATATCCTGTATTAAATTGGATCGATTGTTCACTGAGAAGCGGTTCTTTTCCTGAAAATTTGAAATGTTCTACAATAACACCAGTTCCCAAAATAAAAAATTCTAAAAGATGCAGCGATATGAGACCAATAAATGTGTTACCAGACATTGAAAAATTATTAGGGTCCATAGTGCATGACCAATTAATGCAGTTTATAGAAGAAAACAAAATTTTAGTGGAGGCTCAAGCAGGCGTTCGAAAAAAATATTCCACAGAAACGGCTTTCCAGTTGGTAACTGAGAATTGGAGAAGAGCCATAGACTCAGAAGAAGTTGTCATAGCAGTATTTTTGGATTTGAAGAGGGCATTTGAAAGGATTGATAGAAATATTTTGTTAGGTAAATTGAAGGTAGTGTTTTAGATTGGTTTAGAAATTAATTTGTCTAAAAGGATGCAAGTTACAAAAGTTAATGACACTATTTCATTAAAAATTGAAAATACGTTGGGTGTTCCACAGGGCAGTATCCTGGGACCACTTCTTTTATTTTATACATAAATGATTTACCTGCCCTAGTCAAAAAATGCAAAATTCAGATTTTCGCCGATGACACTATGATTTATATAAGTACTAAAAATATTCAGACTGGTATCTCTTATATAAATGAAGACTTGAAACATGTCTCAAAATGGTTAGCATCTAACAGACTAAAATTAAATACAAGTAAAACGAAAGCCTTGTTAATCGGGAAAAAACAATGTACAAATGTTCAACTGAATATTGATGGTGAAGATATTGAATTCGTAGAAAATTTCTCGTCTAATTTTTGATATTTATTATGAAAAAGTTATAAATAAGATTAGTAGTAAAGTAGGATATTTATCGAGAGTTTCTGGATGTCTGAGTTCATATAGCATAAAAATTATCTATAATACCATCATTCTTCCAAATGTCTTGTACTGTTCGACTATTCTATATTTAGCAAATAATTCCATTTTTGAAAGAATACAAATTTTACAAAATAAGTGCAGGATAATAATACTGAATAAAGATAAATATACTCCAATTAGGCAAATGCTTAGCAAATTAAAATGGCTCAATGTAAAAAATTTTATCAAATATCTTGTAATGATATTCATTTATAAAGTAAAAAATAATATATTTCCATCAATGTAACATCATCAAATGTCGACATAATACCAGAAATAAAGATGACTTCCATTTAATGACCAAGAAGTATAACATATGCTACAAATCTGTATTCCATCAAGGGTTGTTTGAATATAATGAATTATACACAGATATAAAAGACCAGAAAACATTGACAAAATTTAAGGGAAACAGCTTGACTTGTCGTATTCAACAACTTGGCGTATTTTACGTAAGAATCTTAATTTGAAACCATACAAAATTCAACTCGTTCAAGAATTGAAGCCGGCCGACCTTCCAAAGCGTCATCGTTTCAGTCTTTGGGCTCTTGCACGGCTTTAAGAAGATCCGACGTTTTCGAGTAAAATTTTGTTTAGCGATGAGGCCCATTTTTGGCTTAACGGCTACGTTCATAAACAAAACTGTCGTATTTGGGGTGAAGAACAACCCGAAGTGGTTCAAGAGCTGCCATTACATCCAGCGAAAACAACGGTTTATGGGTCGGTGGAATCATCGGTCCCTATTTTTTTAAAAGGTCAGAACGTAACTGTAAATGGCGCTCGTTACCGCACCAAGATAACGGATTATTTGCTGCCTGAAATTGAAGCCCGTAATCTCGATGGCATTTGGTTCCAACACCGTGCAACCATGGTTTTATTGCGAGAACAATTCGATTAACACTTAAATTCACGATTTGGACCAGTGAATTGGCCACCTGCATCATGTGATATCACACCTCTAGACTTTTTCCTTTGGGGCTACGTTAAGTCCAAAGTCTACATTGATAAGCCCAATACGATTGAGGAATTAGAAGCCAACATTACGCAGGTCATTCGCCAAATTCCAGTCGAAATGCTCCAACGTGTCATCGAAAATTGGAACTTTAGAATGGACCATCTCAACCGCAGTCAGGGCCAACATTTGAAAGAAATAATATTCAAAAAATAAATGTCAAAAATAGTTAATTGCTTTAATAAAAAAGATTTGACAAGAAAAAAGAATTTTTGTTATTTTATTTTGTTGCTGAAAAAAGTACCTATAAATGAATCACCCATCAGTATACTAAGTGACATATAAATCCGAACACCCAGTTTAAATGGTTTTATTTTAATAAAAGTTGGTGAATGTATTTATCTTACTGTAAATAACAAGTGAAAAAATTTTCAGCCTTATCAGTTGGACATTCCGGTTTTTATACTGCTTTTTTTTAATTCGCTAACGCTCTAAAAATGAATATTTCAGCCGCAGTAAAGAATCAACGTTGGCGGATTTTGGTTCTTGACATCCTTTACGATCGGTTACGATGCCTAGAGTACGGAGACCTGTACGATTTCGTCAACTCAGTGAGTTTGATAGGGGCCGTATAGTGGGACTTCGGGAAGCTGGACTTTCTTTTCGGGCAATTGCAGTTAGAGTACAAAGAAGTGTAGACACTGTGGTTAGGTGTTGTCAGGCATGGCTTCGAGAAGGCCGTACGCAAAGAGCAAGGGGCACTAGACGCCGCCATAGAACAACAGACCGTGAAGATCGCCGCCTTAAGGAACCGTTTCTCCACTACCAGGTCCATTGCAAATGAATGGCTTGCAGAACACGGAAGACCTATTGGCATACGAAGTGTTTACCGACGAATGAGAAGTTTTGGCTTGTTTTCATACCGGCCACACTGGGTCCTCCCTTTAACTCGAGAACACCGACGTAATCGCCTTGAGTGGTGCAGACAACGGTCACTCTGGGATCAGGAATGGAACAGTATTGTCTTTAGTGACGAGTCTCGATTTTGTTTAGGCATGCACGATGGTCGAGGGTTCGAAGGCGACGTGGTGAAAGGAAGAATCCACAGTTTTTTGTTGAAAGACATGTTCATCACACTGTTGGAGTTATGGTTTGGGGTGCTATAGCTTATGGTTCCAGGTCACCTTTAATCTTCATCAGAGGTAACATGAACGCGTTATATCCACGAAGTTCTAGAACCCCATCTTTTACCCTATCTTGACACCCTGGCAGATCCAACTTTCCAACAAGATAATGCCCGACCACATGTTGCAAGAGTCACAATAGACTTCTTTCAACATAATGATGTCACATTGTTACCATGGCCACCATGATCTCCCGACTTATCCCAAATTGAGCACGTGTGGGATATGATGGGTAGGAGATTGCTCAATTTGCAACGTCCTCCTCAGACTCTAGAAGCACTTCGAGAGGAGTTGGTGGTAGCCTGGAATGAGATACCACAGGAGGACATTGACCACCGGATCAGAAGCATGCCTAGACGCGTTGGAGTATTGCGTAGCACATCAGGGTGCATCCACACATTATTAAAGGTCAAAGGGCTTTAAAGCAGTGCAATCATTTACTTATTATGCTTCATTAAGTACTTATACAAAATTTTATTAAAATAAAACCGTTTAAACTGGGTGTTCGGATTTATATGTCACTTAGTATATTAATCACTTTGAAAATAAGTAGTGGGAACTTTTTCGAGAAGCACTGTATAGGCGTTTCCAGGCAACGTACTTAGAATCATCGGTAAGTCAATTAACTTAATTAACCTGAATACTCACCTGTACTCATGCCTGGCCAGATACCGTACGTACTTTTCTGGTGGTTCGTCACTGTCTGAATTCTGCAAACTGACACTTCTCACTGTGGTATGGCTGACCTGGAAAAGTTTTTTTTAACAAATGACTTCATCCTGGAAGATCCAAGCTCCAATGGATTGAGTGGCGATAAGTTTACTGCTATTAGCCTCTGCTCATTAAATATTTACTTGTTATGAATTTTCAAGTATATCACGATTGGGATCACCTTGTACATGATTGTTTACTTACCTGAGTAGCAGGCATCGTGAACTCCACATAACAATACTCAGCTAGCTTCTCGGGCATCTGATCGTAGCTGGTCAGAGCAATTCTACACACCATGTTATGCGTAGTGTACGCCCCTTGGCCTTCTTTTGGTAGCCTAGGACAACGCCACACTATTGCTCTATGCTGGTGTTCATATTTCGCTTGGCCCGACGTTACTTCGATTAGATTCTCCTGTAATGTCTCCATGGTGCCTAGGATTCGTTCTATGCCTTTTATTTTACCAGTTCTGAAAATAAGAATATTGCGATGATTGATGATAGGGCACGATATTCAACTTTCAGAATGAAAGACTTTGCTATGAAATCAGCTGTCTTTGAGTTTCTAGCGGCGTTTCTAAGCTGGTGAGTTGTTTGCGACTCGTGACAATATTTTTAGCATGAACTGGCTACATTTGTAGTAGTAGAAAGGTTTATTTAGCACATTTGGCTACATAAACAGAATAATTTATTGTAAACAACTTAGAATTAGTACATTCAAGCAATATGATGTATGATGTAAATGTTGGACAATCTATAATTGTAGATTTAACAAGTGATTTCTCAATTTTACTTTAAATTTTGTCAAAGTTTTCTGGTCTTTTATCTCTGGGTATAATTTATTATATCCAATCAACCCTTGATGGAATACATATTTGTAGCATATGTTATACTTTTTGATCATTAAATGGAAGTCATCTTTATTTCTGGTATTATGTAAATGATGGTCGACATTTGATGCTGTTAAATTAGATAGACTTGGTGGAAATATATTATTTTTTACTTTATAAATGAATATCATTACAAGATATGTGATAAATTTTTTTACATTTAGCCATTTTAATTTGCTAAGCATTTGTCTAATTGGAGTATATTTATCTTCATTCAGTATTATTCTCATGCACTTATTTTGTAAAATTTGCAGTCTTTCAAAAATGGAATTATTTGCTAAATATAGAATAGTCAAAGAGTACAAGAAATTTGGAAGAATGATGGTATTATAGATAATTTTTCTGCTATATGAACTCAGGCATCCAGAAACTCTCGATAAATATCCCACTTTACTACTAATCTTATTTATAACTTTTTCATAATGAATATCAAAAATTAATCGAGAGTCAACAAAAACCCCCAGGTTTTTAAAATATTCTACGAATTAAATATCTTCACCATCAATATTCAGTTGAACATTTGTACATTGTTTTTTTCCGATTAACAAGGCTTTCGTTTTACTTGTATTTAATTTTAGTCTGTTAAATGCTAACCATTTTGAGACAAGTTTCAAGTCTTCATTTATATAAGAGATACCAGTCTGAATATTTTTAGTATTTATATAAATCATAGTGTCATCGGCGAAAATCTGAATTTTGCATTTTTTTACTATGGCAGGTAAATCATTTATGTATAAAATAGAAAAAAGTGGTCCCAGGATACTGCCCTGTGGAACACTCGACGTATTTTCAATTTTAGATGAAACAGTGTCATTTCCTTTTGTAACCTGTGATATATTTCGTCACTCATTGTTGCCCGATTTTGTAGCCTGTTTGGTGATAAAGTCTGACAAATGTATGTCACTTTCAGACGGTATTCTCAAGATATACCCGAGGTCATATACCCAGTCCACATGCTGCAATACCAGTATGTTGTTCATGATGGCTGGACTATACAGGGTGTCCCAGAAGTCGACGTCAAGCCGAAACCGGGTGATAGGCAAAGTCATAACAGCTATCAGAAAAATATTTAAAAAAATTTTATGTATGTGTTTTGAAAATTATAGGTCTTTGAAAAAAATATAGAAATTTCACACCTTACGGCAGTCTGTCAACTCCTGTTACTTAAAATATTAACTTTATTTGGATTTTATTTTTACAATGTAATGATGAATAATGCATCTTCAAACTGGTGTCTCAACCTTACTGCCAACTTTTCTCGTTCAGGAAAAATTGCCACTTATCTTCCAACCAAGTATTCCAAAGTAAAACTTTGCTCAACTTTAACTGGCTGTATTGGAAAAAAATGTACTACGAGAGTTTGGCCAGTAACCTTAAAAGTTAGCGCATTTAATAACGATTCCAGAATGGTATAACACTTAGAAGATTACTCGTTAACTTATGCACAATTTTTATTTGAAGAAAAACTGATGAAAATTTTTCAAAATTTCCTAATTAAACAGCGATTATGAAAACGCACAAGGACCCATAAGGATAACTGTTTGCACAACAGTGGGCGTCAAAATGCTGCTGATGATGATTTACCTTTACAGCAAATGGTCAAACTGTTTTCCTTCAGCCGCAATACACGCTCGACATCTTCTTAAAAGAGATCGGATTATTAAACGAGCGAATCCACGGTTATTAACAAACTCAGCTGCTTCCAATAGTCTTTACCGTAGCTCAGCTACATTTTGAATCGGCTTGAAATACACTTTTTCTTTTACAGTTCCCCAGTAAAAAAAATCTAACGGATTCAAATCTGGTGACGGGGCTGGCTACGGTATTGTACCAGACCGCCCTATCCATCTGCCTGGAAAGTTTTGATCGAGATACTCTCTCACTGAGAGTGCATAGTGCGCTGGGCAGCCATCATGCTGAAACCACATGTCCCTGTAAATACTCAGTGGCACGTCCACCAATAAATTTTCTAAATGATTTTGTAAAAAACCTAAATAAACCTCAGCAGTCAAAGTCTCTGGAAACTCAAACGGACCGATTATTTTACCATTTAAAATTCCTGTCCAATGGTTTATCTTGAAGCGATATTGAGATTTATCTTCTCTTATCAAATGTGGGTTTGCTACATGCCACTCGTGTAAGTTATGCAGGTTTATGTACCCATCTTTCTTAAATGTGGTCTCATCTGACCATAAAATTTTTTCAAAGAACCGTGGATCTTCCCTGTGTTTTTCTAACATTGTGTGACAAAAAGCAACTCGGGCCTCATAATCCCGGGGCAGAAGAGCTTGAACACGCTGTACGTGGTATGGATGGAGCACGTTTTTTTGCAAGATTCTATGGGCTGTACTTTTGGGCACACCTATTTTTAGTTCTATTGCACGCACTGAAGTACTCGGGTCTTCTTCGACAGCTCCTAGCACCACGTCTTCGTAAGGAAGGAAATATCTTCCCTCACCGTGTGATTGGTTTGGTAGTTGGCCGTCTGAGAACAGTAAGGGGTGCACATTTGTGAACACTCGATGATCTGGATGACGAGCTGCATTCGGGTACCTCTCACAGTAAAGTCTCGCTGCAGCACTAGCGTTGCATCTGCATTCCCCATAAATGAGGTGCATGTTAGCATATTCTTGTACGGTGTGCACGGACATAGCGGCACTGCACAATCACACTATCAAAGATAGTCTAAGGAAAGCAAATGTTGTTTTGAAGAGCAATTAAACAGTCCAAATCCAAATCACAAGCGATCAACAGTCCAATTCCTCGAATCCAAAATTAGTAACAGTACGAAATCAACAAGCACGAACATGTAAAGATGCGCAGTAAACGAAGGAGTACTGATCGGTATCAAAGTGTGCAATAGCAAGTAAGTGATGTGCTTCATCCATACCACATACAGCGTGTTCAACCTCTCCTGCCCCGGGATTATGAGCCCCGAGTTGCTTTTTGTCGCACAATGTTAGACACAGGAAAGATCCACAGTTTTTTGAAAAAATTTTATGGTCGGATGAGACCACATTTAAGAAAGATGGGTACATGAACCTGTATAACTTACACGAGTGGCACGTAGCAAACCCACATTTGATGAGAGAAGATAAATCTCAAAAGCGCTTCAAGATAAACCATTGGACAGGAATTTTAAATGGTAAAATAATCGGTCCGTTTGAGTTCCCAGAGACTTTGACTGCTGAAGTTTATTTGGATTTTTTGAAAAATCATGTACAAAATTTATTGGTGGACGTGCCACTGAGTATTTACAGGGACATGTGGTTTCAGCATGATGGCTGCCCAGCGCACTATGCACTCTCAGTGAGAGAGTATCTCGATCAAAACTTTCCAGGCAGATGGATAAGGCGGTCTGGTACAATACCGTGGCCAGCCCGGTCACCTGATTTGAATCCTTTACATTTTTTACTGGGGAACTGTAAAAGAAAAAGTGTAACTCAAGCCGATTCAAAATGTAGCTGAGCTACGGCAAAGATTATTGGAAGCAGCTGAGTTTGTTAATAACCGTGGATTCGTTCGTTTAATAACCCGATCCTTTTTAAGATGTCGAGCGTGTATTGCGGCTGAAGGAAAACAGTTTGAGCATTTGCTGTAAAGGTAAATCATCATCAGCAGCATTTTGACGCCCACTGTTGTGCAAACAGTTATCCTTAAGGGTCCTTGTGCGTTTTCATAATCGCTGTTTAATTAGGAAATTTTGAAAAATTTTCATCAGTTTTTTTCAAATAAAAATTGTGCATAAGTTAACGAGTAATCTTCTAAGTGTTATACCATTTTGGAATCGTTATTAAATGCGCCAACTTTTAAGGTTACTTGCCAAACTCTCGTAGTACATTTTTTCCAGTACAGCCAGTTAAAGTTGAGCGAAGTTTTACTTTGGAATACTTGGTTGGGAAATAAGTGGCAATTTTTCCTGAACGAGAAAAGTTGGCGGTAAGGTTGAGACACCAGTTTGAAGATACATTATTCATCATTACGTTGTAAAAATAAAATCCAAAAAAGTTAATATTTGTAGTAACAGGAGTTGATACACTGCCGTAGGGTGTGAAATTTCTATATCTTTTTCAAAGACCTATAATTTTCAAAACACATATATAAAAATTTTTTAAATATTTTTCTCATAGCTGCTATGACTTTGCCTATAACCCGGTTTCGGCTTGACGTCGACTACTGGGACACCCTGTATACTAATATTTCAACAAAAATATTGCGCTCTTAGAAGCCCCGTTAAATATTGGAATTGCACAGGAAATATTACCTTCTATGTGCCGATTTCACAGACCCATATCTGAAATGTTTTTCGACCCTGAAGAGGTATATCCAACATTCTGGAATAGGAAACCGTATCATGACGTCCTCGCAGGGAATTTGCCCTAATTTGCGAGACGCGAAACCTGGCACTAATACGTCCGCCCTTAGTTCTACCTAAAACATAGGCAACACATAAATCGTATAGTTGTTCTTGTAATTATATCTGAATTTTACCTTATGACCAGTAACGCAGATCTGAGCTTTCAGTTGTAACGGAAGTTCTCGATTCTTCGGAGGTCGAACCCTGAACCTCATCAATTCAATATAACACGCGTCAGGAGGTTTGAACCTGAAACAATATTCATATCATCTTGGTGCTACTTTCAATATCAATGTCAGCACGCGTAAACATAATATGTTAAAGAAAAAAGGGCCTACTTGATGATATGGGTTTGATGATAGTCCTCCTGCTGTATGCAAGAGTGAAATTCGACATCTTCCAATCGGATCCATTCTTCAGTAACCACCGGAATAATATCGTGACGCCCGACAACCTCTTTGCCTTGCCTTCGCATGTCGTTAACGCCCAATTCAATATCGGGCATTCCTGTCAGGAAACCGAGGAAGAACAACCGGACACGGGCTATCTGCTTTTCCACGTGCCCTAGAAAGAAAGGGAAGAGTCAAATAGGCCGACTCATAACCATCAACGTATGATCGCGAACGTATTTTGTTGAAGGTTTATTTGTCATTGTCAAGTCGTAACAGAATATCTGTAGTACAAAATAACTGCGTACGATTCAAATTTAGTTTAAGAAAATTTGATCATGTTTCGGATCGTTATTCTTCAATAGGTTGGTTAAAGATGACAGATTTAGTTAAATACTATACTAAGTGACATATAAATCCGAACACCCAGTTTAAATGGTTTTATTTTAATAAAATTTTGTATAAGTACTTAATGAAGCATAATAAGTAAATGATAAAAATTTTTGACCTTTAATAATGTGTGGATGCACCCTGATGTGCTACGCATTCTCCAACGCGCCTAGGCATGCTTCTGATCAGGTGGTCAATGTCCTCCTGTGGTATCTCATTCCAGGCAACCATCAACTCCTCTCGAAGTGCTTTTCGAGTCTGAGGAGGACGCTGCAAATTGAGCAATCTCCTACCCATCATATCCTACACGTGCTCAATTGGGGATAAGTCGGGAGATCTTGGTGGCCATGGTAACAATGTGACATCATTATGTTGAAAGAAGTCTATTGTGACTCTTGCAACATGTGGTCGGGCCTTATCTTGTTGGAAAGTTGGATCTGCCAGGGTGTCAAGATAGGTTAAAAGATGGGGTTCTAGAACTTCGTGGATATAACGCTGCGCGTTCATGTTACCTCTGATGACGATTAAAGGTGACCTGGAACCATAAGCTATAGCACCCCAAACCATAACTCCAACAGTGTGATGAACATGTCGTTCAACAAAAAACTGTGGATTCCTCCTTTCATCACGTCGCCTGCTAACCCTGGCACGACCATCGTGCATGCCTAAACAAAATCGAGACTCGTCACTAAAGACAATACTGTTCCATTCCTGATCCCAGAGTGACCGCTGTCTGCACCACTCAAGGCGATTACGTCGGTGTTCTCGAGTTAAAGGGAGGACCCAGTGTGGCCGGTATGAAAACAAGCCAAAACTTCTCATTCGTCGGTAAACACTTCGCATGCCAATAGGTCTTCCGTGTTCTGCAAACCATTCATTTGCAATGGACCTGGTAGTGGAGAAACGGTCCCTTAAGGCCAATAATCTTAGGCGGCGATCTTCACGGTCTGTTGTTCTACGGCGGCGTCCAGTGCCCCTTGCTCTATGCGTACGGCCTTCTCGCAGCCATGCCTGACAACACCTAACCACAGTGTCTACACTTCTTTGCACTCTAACTGCAATTGCCCGAAAAGAAAGTCCAGCTTCCCGAAGTCCCACTATACGGCCCCTATCAAACTCACTAAGTTGACGAAATCGTACAGGTCTCCGTACTCTAGGCATCGTAACCGATCGTAAAGGATGTCAAGAACCAAAATCCGCCAACGTTGGCAGCAGTATAAAAACCGGAATGTCCAACTGATAAGGCTGAAAATTTGTTCACTTGTTATTTACAGTAAGATAAATACATTCACCAACTTTTATTAAAATAAAACCATTTAAACTGGGTGTTCGGATTTATATGTCACTTAGTGTATTTCCCACTTCGAAATATATCCATGGGTGATCATGATCACTTATCTTTGGGGTATGCTTAACTTCAGTAATTAGATTTTGTTCATTAGTTATGAGCAAATCTATTTTTGTTTTCGAACAGTTCGTAATCCTTGTCACCTAAATCTTTCCCTATTGACATACATTTTGTTTTATTATTATTCAACAGTTCTAAAGCAGTTTCCAAATGGAAAATTGATGCTAAACTGGTTATCAGCGACGCTTAATACAAATACACGTATATTGAAATTCGAGAGAAATCGAAACATTTTTTCAATCATGTTCCCCCGCCGTTTTGATTTTGAAAAGATCATTATACAGGGTGCGGCAGAGAGAACCTCATTTTGTTTATGAGTATACGCGAGCAAGCCCCGAACTCTGGACGAATTGAAGGGCGAAATTCGCGAGGAAGTCGCCGAAGTAGAGAGAGCGATGTTGAAGAGAGTCTACGCGAACTTCCAAGAACGCGTCCAGCACTGCATCAACGATTTCGGCCACCACATGCCTGATGTGATTTTCCACACTTGACTGTCTCAAATGCTATTTCCTTGTGAACCTGATTCCATCAATAAATTTGTTTTCGAGTAAAAATTAACTATTTTATGATTTTTTTAAAACCGTCCATCCTTTCTGCCGCACCCTGTATAATTCGTTAACAGCGAACATCCAAAATTCGAATTTGGGCGGATTCCAAATATTTGTTGCACAAATATCCGTCATATTGGAACCGCTATTTTGAACTTTGACAAGTGGATATCATATTCTTCGGTGAAACTTGAGGAACTGTGCTATGGTTCAACAACCATATTTGTTCATTGTCCAAAATGCCGAGAAAACAAAGTTTGACTAAAGGACAAAACGAAGCTTGAAATATGTACTTTAATAAGTCGTTTTCTGTCAATATTCGGATGACAACAGCTTATAGAAGATAAAACATAATCGTTACGCTTACGTCAAGCTTCTAGGAAAAAAGTTTTTTTAGAAAACTAGCTCACCTTCCGCGTCTTGCTCCACGTACAACTCATCCACAGCAGTGACCTGTACCTCCTCCATTTTATAATGCAATGCTCTATCTCTGTGAGCGGCCAGTTTGAATAATGCCTCTTCAATACAGAACGAAAACTGCTTCAAGTCTTCGAAGTTCAACGACCCTATCTTCAAGAGCTGGGATACTTGTGGAGCATGTTCAACAGGTAGGCCTAGCTTCTTCAAATCGCTGCCGAATTCTTTCACGCCTGAACAGATAAGTGATTAGTTTGACAGCGACATTTTTTTACCAAGTGATTTCATCAATAATTCATGATGATGGAAGGAGACTTTCAAAAAGAGAATTGAGGGACATGGAGATTTTTGAATTAGACACCACAGGGTTTCCAAAAATCGGATCACAAAGTACTTGGGAAGGATGAAGAAAAAAAGAACGTAAATCCTTTATCAGAAAGCCTAGCTTAATGCTTTTTCGTTACTCCACGTTTTCGATGGTTTTCCCAAATACGAGTATACTACGAAAATAATGCACTTACCTTGATAATCACCCTGTATAGCATACGCTGCAAACTGGCTCAATTTGTTAGTTATTTTTTCAGCTTTCTTCATCTGGCCAGGTCGAACACCTGGTCTTTCCTTGTAGAAAATGTATTGTAATTTTATCGTAAATATTTTCCCGAATTGGTCATATTGTTGAGCTCCGATTTCTGATACAGAGTAACATGGTTGAAGGGGTAGTTCTTGGAACGGATCTTTATCGTCCTGAAAAAAGTATATTCTTGTAATAATTCCTACCTGAGTAATAGATAATCCATTGAATAAGAAGGAACCGGTTTCCGCTACACAGTGTAAAAGATCCATCAATCCACATTACGCGTAAAACAATCACAACGTAGTCTGAGAATTAGTCAATCTATACGAACTGGCTTAGCAAAATTAATGATTCATTATAGTAAACAATGGATTTAATTTGGTTATACAGGGTGTTCATTTGACGACTTCCCACCAAGGATTTACCGAAAACCACTGATTAAAAAAAGACACTTCAAAAGATTTGTCAGCTTTTTAACCAAAAACTAATTCACCCCCATTTACCCTCTGTCCCCCAGGGTTATCCTCTTGAAAAAATTTTAATGACAAGTGGTATCAAGTAGTAGCTTGTTTGGAAGGTATTTCAAAGTCCTTTATTTTGACAGTTGGTTTTTAAAATGGATCGATTCCTTTTCAAGAAAATTAGAAAAATCTTTATTTATCTTAATATGATCAGATAGAAAACAAAAACACACGACAATATAACTTTTTATTTCAATAAGTAATAATAATAATAATAATAATATTTATTTACTCAATGTACAAAGATAACAAACAATATGAGTAAATAAATATAAAATCAAAACAGGCCCAATAGAAGGCATCGCCTGTACATGGACCAATAATTTAAGTTGAAACTGTAGAATGCAAATGACAAAAAAGGACAAAAATTAGCTACAGTAGATTATGTATTTATTTGATGTTCGTATTTATGAGTTTATGAATTTCAGTCCTAGATATAGAATGTAGCCACTTTTTTAAATTTCTTTTGAAACAATTTCCGAAACGTAAATCTTTTAAGTCTTTAGGTATAATTTCATAAAATTTAGGCGCTAAATAGAGATATGATCGCTGCATTATAGATTTATGCGGTTGAGGAACTACTGTGCCACGAATTTTGTACCTGGTATAATGATTATGTTTAATTTTTTGGTCGGTGTTTACAAATTTATGGTAGTGAGTGATACTGTGTAAGAAATAAAGCTGTCTTATATCATACATTCGAACATCTGCATATCATTTTTCAGTGGGATAAAGTATCGGTTTTTTAAATATCATTTTTAGAATACTTTTTTGAAATACATCTAAATTATAGATATGTGAGGAACATGCAGCTCCCCATGCTAATATACCATATGTGAGATGAGGCTCAATCAGTGCATGGTATAATGTTCGAAGATATTTTTCTGTCAATATATTCCCAAGGTATTTAATTTTGTAGGATACAAATCTAACTTTCTTTAAAATAGAATTGACATGGATGTCCCATCGTAAGTGAGGATCCAAGACCACTCCAAGGTATTTTATGTTGGGCACTCTATTAATTTGCATTTTTTAATCATTAATATTGAAGGAGAAATTTGTGTAATTTGGCAGATGTCTAGCATAAGATCCAAATGGTAAAAAATGTGTTTTAGTTAGTTAATGCTTAATTTTCTACTGTTAAACCACCGAATAATTTTGATAAAATCATTTTCAATTACATTTTTCAGATCAGACCAGTCAGTGCCTTTATATAATATTGCAGTATCATCTGCAAAACTAGTTATTTTGCCAACACAATTAATTTGGAAAATATCATTTAAATATATATTGAATAACAGCGGACCTAAGACAGTTCCTTGTGTGACAGCACACTTAATATACATTTCTTTACTAAATGATCCTGATATCTGCACAGATTGTGGGCGATTTGACAAATAACTTTCGATCAGTGAGTACGCGTTTCCTCTGAAACCAATTCTCTCCAATGCTTCTAATAATAATTTGTGATTAACTGAGTCGAAAGCTTTCTTTAAATCAACAAAAATGCAGATTGAAGGGATTCTGTTATCAATATTTTGATATATTTGATTTACAATTTTAGTTATTGCGTCCGATGTAGCCTTCCCTTATTGGCTATTATTGGCCAAACAATGATATAAACAGGTTGTGGGATATCATGCCAGCTTTCGATGATGCGTTGATGAAGTTCATCCAAACTTTCAGGTTGGGAGTAAACACGATAGATTTCAAATGACCCTATAGAAATAAGTTAAGTGGCGTTAAATTAGGAGATCCAGCAGGCCATTCTATATATATAGGAACATCCTCTTCGATTTGGTTTTCAACGGTTTCAGTGTTAAACATGGGTTCTTGCATAACGCCAAAGCACCTCTTCCAGTCATCCAAGTAGCTGACATTAAGCAGAATGATGGTATTTTCCAACATATCCAAAGAAATGTCCCCTTTCAAATTTCGATTAATAAGCAATGCCCCAGTCACTTTGTTTCATAAAATGCCTGCACATACATTAATTTTTTGGTGGTACTGGTTGTGCCCTTCTCCAGAAATTGCGGCGAGTGGAAGTGTGCCAAGAAAAAAAATTTTTGAATAACGTAATCACAGGTGACGAGTCGTGGATCTTTGACTATGATCCCGAGACAAAGAGGCAATCTTCCGAGTGGCAAACGATGGCGTCTCCTCGTCCAAAAAAGGGAAGAATAAGCAAATCCAAAGTGAAAACGATGCTCATTGTCTTTATCGACATCAAAGGCATCCTCCACCATGAATTTGTTCCTCCTGGACAAACCGTCAACGCCAAGTTTTACGTGGAAGTGCTCAGGAGACTCAAACGAAGGGTCAGTTCGGGTCCGACAAGACCAAGGCCGGCATCCCTGCAGCCCAGATGTGCCCCCCCCGGACTTTTCTTTGTTTCCTCGCCTGAAAATTCCAATGAAAGGCAAGCATTTTGAGACGACAGAGGGGATCCAAGCAGAAGGAGCCTATTTTGAAAGGTTTTGAAGAATTGTAACGATCGGCTCAATAATTTTTTTTAAATCGATTCAGTCCTATTACTTTCCGGACAAACCCTGTATCTACGTTTTGGGATCCAGTGCGACGGAAGCTGAACAGAATCAGAAAGAACCTTCAACAGTCTAAACAACAACCGCGCCAAGATTCAATTTCACATGTCCATTGTCAAAAACCTACCTTTTGATTGAATAATTGCAATAAAGTGCAATCCATCTGGTTGACGATTTTGACAAAGATCTTCTTCCAAAACCGTTGTCCAGTAATTTTCTTTTTGTTGGGCTGTCTCAGGTGCATCTCCCAACCTTCACCGGACCAATCTATTCTAGGGAACGGCTCTAAGGGCACCGATGTGTCATCATCGAATAATGGAGTTGGTGGAGTTTCCTGGGAGTCAGTTCTTTGTACTTTAGGTACAGCTGAAAATAAAACATATTCCGTGTTTTTCGGTATAGCCAAGATTCTCAGGAACACATTCCCTTGATAGAGATCTTCTCTCAATCTTAATCAAGTGTAGGCAATGTAGGTAGGATAGCAACTCTCCAATCAAGAGATGAATAATATCCGAGCCTTGTGCAAGGTAAAGAAGCTCTCTAATTGTATGTGGAAAGTCTTAAATACCGTACCAAAGGAATCTTCAGTAGGAAGAGCAGCTTCCGGAGCTTCAGTCTGGTTGTCAAACGGATTGAACCTTGCAGAATCGGAAAATGCAGAGTTGACTGTAGCTGGAGGTGGAGCTATCGATGGTACTGCTCCGCCTTGATATTCTTCATTGCCTTTTGGCCTAAAAGTTAAATTCAGTAACCACTAGTTCACTATAAGCAAGGACTGGAAATAGTTGCATTCGGTCTTCAGGATACAAATTGATTCTAATAACAGTAAATACACTAAGAAATACTCCTTCATTCTATGAAACTACGAGTAGATATGAGTAAATTCCCTTACCTGATAAATACCGAGAAATCGTTGCCTTCATCAGACTCCTGCGATGGAGCCTTACTGACCCGATTCGGCGTACTCTGGGGCACAGTAGGTGGCTCCTGGAGCGCCAAGAAAGCGTCAAACCCTTCCTCTTGTCCGAACCCTTGGGTTTCGCCCTCTCCAAATCCACCAATCATCGACTCGTTCCCCCAAGCGTCCACCCCTGCAGATATCTTCGGTTCGTTCATCGAGTCGAACTTCTTCTCGAAGTCATCGAACTCGTTCGAAGCTGATCCGAAAGGGTCAGGTCTGGGTGTTACAGGGGGTGCGGCTGATCCAAAGGGATCTGGACGTTGCGTTACCGGCGGTGCTGCTGAGCCGAAGGGATCTGGGCGAGGGGTAACTGGTGGCGGTGCTGAGCGAAAGCTGACGGTTGTTGACGGAGCTGTTGAACCGAATGGGTCTTGGTTGGTATCTGGAACGGCTATAATGATGAAAAATGCCATTAAAAAGGACTAAAGTCTCCAAACTATAGGGTAAGGTGCGAAAACGAGACTAGTAGCATAGCGCTGTGCAAAGGTCCATTACTCTCACAGCTACACTGTGAAGTATTCAAGTTTATCGCTATGCCTCTTGTTGGACCACTACTCTTGATACCCGGTTCCCAGGAAGTATTGCAGGTCCAAAGTGTCAATTTTGTCATTTTTAGATAATAATACAATTACAAAGATCCACAAAATCTCGTAATTCTTAATATTTCCGAATCTCACTTAAGATGGGCCATTGTTTTAGAACTCGATCAACATCTTCAATATACTCGTATTACAACGCGTGGAATACATCGCCAACACAAATGATCCGAACACAATGAGCTTATATACTCACCATAAGCAGGTGATTCCTGAGCAAAGGTATTCTGGGCTCCACTGACGGGCACCGCATCCGGTTTTTGGAAGTTATCCTGAGTGGTATCCATAGGTCCAAAGATGTCTTGACTGGCACTCGGTGGCATAGGTGACCCTTCGAAAGATCCTACTGTCTGACTGAAGGTCTGAGCAAAAACGTCGTCAGCTTTAGACGGTTGTTCTGCACCAAAAGGACTGTAACTGTGTTCCATTGGTTGTGTAGTATCGTTCTGATGTACCTGCTCGCCTAACGGTGGGTTCTGATCTAGCCTCATTGAGATGGAGATTGGTTCTTCTTCAGGGACACTGTCTGTGCTAAGTGGCTGTTGAATTTCTGCTGTTATTTGGGCTGCAATGAATGTATTTTTAAGAGAAGGATCTCAAAAGCAGATGTATTAACAGTCAGATGCTCAGGTCATCACTAGACCAGTTAGTACCATTGTTCTGGGAGAAGGGGCATCGAGGCAGCTCAAGAAGGCATAGAGAGAGAAGCACGGATATCTCATTGAAACAAAGAAATTCCTTCGCTCATTGGTTGTGTAGAATCGTTCTGATGTACCTGCTCGACTGACGGTGGGTTCTGATCTAGCCTCATTGAGATGTAGACTGGTTCTTCTTTAGGGACACTGCCTGTGCTAGGTGGCTGTTGAATTTCTGGTGTTATTTGGGCTGCTATGAATGTATTTTTAAGAGAAGGATCTTACAAGCAGAGGTATTAAAATCCAGATGCTCAGGTTGCTAGATCAGTTAGAACCATTGCTCTCGGCAAAGGGGCATCGAGGGAACTCAAGAAGGCATAGAGAGAGAAGCACGGATATCTCATTGAAACAAAGAAATTCCTTCGCTCATTGGTTGTGTAGTGTCGTTCTGATGTAACTGCTCGACTGACGGTGGGTTCTGATCTAGCCTCATTGAGATGGAAACTGGTTCTTCTTTAAGGACACTGTCTGTGCTAGATGGCTGTTGAATTTCTGGTGTTATTTGGGCTGCTATAAATGTATTTTTAAGAGAAGGATCTTAAAAACAGAGGTATTAAAATCCAGATGCTTAGGTCATCACTCGACCAGTTAGTACCATAGTTCTGGGCGAAGGGGCATCGAGGGAGCTCAAGAAGGCATAGAGAGAGAAGCACCGATATCTGATTGAAATAAAGAAACTCCTTCGCTCAGATTGCTTTGGATTTTCAAGGAGGTCGAGAGAGATACTTGTTTCGTAATATATCTAACGCAACTGAGATTGATAGTGAGTAGGTATATTCAACAGAACATCCTGACCTCCGCCAAGAAGGCAGGTAAGTTCGATCATGAGTTTAAATAGGAAAGGAGGTCATGAGGGATCGAATGTTATAATTGTGAATAGCCTAAGCTTAAAGGTATCTTTTAACTACCTGCATCGACTTGGTCCTCCCTGACATCCATCGGCTTCTCTTCCAAACTAGAATCAACAGCAGCTGGCACAGCTGACGGCGTTGGTGCACCCGAAAACGGGTTAAAAGTGGCGCTAGTCATGCTGCCGCGCTTGCTGTGCTGATCCGGTGAAAAGACGTTGTCCAACGCGTCATCTGACTTCTGGCTTAGCTGAGAAGGAGAGCAGGCTGCGGAGGAGGCGTTGGTGATGATCGCGTGGGTGGCGCTGTCCGTAGACATGGGCGTCGAGATATCAGGAGCTGCGCCGGTGGTTATGGGAGGCACTGGAGACGTTGCGGGAGCTGACATTGAATACACCTAGAAGATAATGTTCGGATATATTTCGAAGTGTATTTTGTTGAATAAGTTTGCATTCGGGTTTATTTATTACCTCCACAGGATCTGATAGCAAATCCTGCTGCTGATGTTGCTTAGGCGCATTATACAAGTTAAGTATATCATCCTTGGTAACTGGCTTTGGAGGTCGAGCGTTACTTGTTCCAAACAGATCAAAATCATCGTCATTTGCTGGAGCGGCTATAGGCGCAGGTGCAACTGCAGGTGAAGCGGCTACTTTTGGAGGCTCTTCAGGTACGGGAGGCTTCACTTTGGGCGGTTGAGGCTTCGGAGGCCGTGGAGGAGTGGGCCTTGGAGGTTTAGCAGCCGGTTTGGAAGTTGTCGTTGCCTCTTGAGAAGATGTTACCGCAGCCGATGTGGCGGTCGACTGAGGATTCTGATTTATGTCGCACGTATCTGAAGAAAAACAAAGTTGTAGAAAACTTTTGATAGATAGACTTATAATAGAGGGTACAGGACAAGACACTGCAGCAAAGAGACAGCTGTGCATTTAATAAGACAATGACATAATGAAACAGATGTCAAAACATTTGCAAGTGGACCGAACGATCACAACCTATAATTTTACAGCCTTTTACTGGAAGCTTTATCCTGAGTTGGGATCGGCAAAGTTTCTTGTAAATCCATCTCGGAATCTGAAGATGAATTTTCTTGCACTGGTTCGTAAGATGATCTCTCAGGAGGAGGAAGCAACATATTCAGCTTCGCCGCTTTTGTTTTTCGGTGCTCCTAAGACGCGCCTTTTCTTCTTTTATGGCACGGGTTGCCTTGGTTCTAGGTACATAAAACTTTATTGACAATTGTTTTGACATTGCTCAAGCAAAATTAAAGCGTGGGCGTTTGAATATGGTACACCCTAATGGACAGGATAAAGATGACATTTTTGAGAGTTAATTTTCTAAAGAGTTGATATCAGAATGATTTTCCGTTCCTTCTTCCTAAAAGTGGGCCCCAGTCCCTATATTTCATCGTCAGCTTACAGATCTATTTCTTTATCATCTCACTTTGGCTTCGGATGTTACTAACCTTGCGAAAACGACACCAAATCTCCTTCCTCTTGATTTCCAATCGATGCATCCATCGGTGCGCCTTCCTGCAAATCCGCACCGAGGATATCCGGTGTTGGGCTTGGAGAATGGAGATCTCGCATGGATACCGGACTAGGAGTTCGAGTCGGTGGGATTTTGTCCAGCAAAGAAGTGCTTGTGGCGTCCATAGTTCCGGTCACTTGCGCTAGGAGCGCCCGGGTTTCATTCGCTAACGGAGGTCTCGGTGGCGGGGCCGCTGGTCGGGGCGGAAGACTGTTGCTACACAAGAAAATATACAAGGTGCTACAGAGTGTTGTCAGAAAAAATGATAGCAGATTTAACACATTAATCTATGGCTTCTAATCAGTGTCACCTCCCCTCGATAAAACTGTTCGAAGGAAACATTTCAAGGCCAATCAGAACCACAACCTCTCTAAAAGAATCTACTTTTTGGATGCATGATCAGCTGTCATTTCTTGACTTTGTTCCGCGATAGGTACTCGTGAAAAATAGTGTATTGCTTACGAATAGTACACTTCTGACTTAACTTGAACTTCTTTTTGCAGCGGTTCTAATTCTGGTTGACTTTGAGTGACATAAAAATGACAAACTTTGAATTGAGTTCTACCGTTTTCAGGTTACTTAAGGTCCAGCGACGCCAAAAAAATTTGATCCAAAGTAAATAGTCCATATATTTTCGGTAATTTTGGTAGACTCTAAATTTGAAGGCCCGAACTGGAAAGATTTTTCGCAAACTGTAAATGGTTTTACAAGCAAACGGTTATCGCACGGAACAAATAGAACAGGTTTCACGGCAAAAAAACAAACCGCCGGCAGAAGACAAGGAACCACCTGCCAGGGTATCCTTCCTACCATACATTAAAGGCATTACGGATAGAATCTGAAGGTTGCTGCAGAAACACAACGTCAAGACCATCTACAAGCCGACAAATAAAATCCAGCAACTCCTAACAGCAGTAAAGGACCCTAGGGACCCCCTGAGCGGTGCCGGCGCATACAGAATACCGTGTTCCTATGGTAAAGTATACGTAGGCAACACTAAACGTAGCTTCCAAACACGAATCAAGGAGCATGAAAGAAGCTGTCGACTGGGACAAACTGATAGTTCAGCGGTGGCCGAACACGCACTCCAAGACGGCCACCATGTTCTGTTCGACCAAACATCCACCCACTACTATTATTTATGTGATAACTGCTGACTATATTATTGTTAGACTTTGAAAATTGAATGTATTTACATTTGTCTGTGTTAAGGATCATTCTATTTTCTTCACTCCATTTAACAAATTGATCAAGGTCACTCTGAATCTTTAATGTTGAGTTATTATCAGAAAGAGGTAAATAGATCTTGACATCGTCAGCATAGATAAGAAAAGAACAGAATTTAAAACATTGGGCTATGTCATTGACAAAAATTATAAATAAAATGGGTGCCAAGTGCGCACCTTGTGGTACACCAGACAAGACAGCAATTGGATTTGAGAGACAGTTTTTAATTTTTACAAATTGCTCTCTTTCAGAAAGATAAGATCTTAACCAGTTCAATAAACTTCCATGCAATCCGTAACAAGAGAGCTTTTCAATGAGAATATCTATATTCAACTTGTCGAATGCTTTCCCAAAATCTATATAAATTGAGTCAACAGATTGCCCATTTTCCAATGCCTCAACTATATATGTGAATGATAAACTAAAAGGTTAGAAGTTATAGATTTTCCTTCACAAAAACCATGTTGCTGTGCAATTATAACATTTTTAAATTTTTCCTTCAAAAAATCTGCTACAAATGATTCAAAAACCTTTGGAATTAACGATATCAATGTAATGGGCCTGTAATTTTCAACATTCTCTCGATTTCCACAATTTTTAAAAATTGGAATAATGTAGGAGGTTTTCCATTTCTTTGGAAAAACTCCCAGGGCTAAAGATTTATTAAATAAAATCCATAAAGGTCTAGACAGTGAGAAAGCACAGTTCTTAAGAAACAATGCACTCACACTATCAGGACCCGGTCCCTTTGACAAGTCCAGGCTAGCCAGCTTTTCACAAATATCAGTAATTTTTATATATACACTGCTCAAATTTAAGTTTGGCGAGCTGAAACTTTTTGCAACAGTGCTAAGGCTCTGTGAAGGACTTGGTGTTTCATATACACTAGAAAAATGTTTAGCAAAAGCATTTGCAATTTCTTTGCCGCTATCAAAAGTTTCCTCATTATACTTAACAATTGATGGAATACTATTTTGATTATTTTTAGACTTAATGAACTTCCAGAAAACATTAATATTACCTTTTAGATTATTCTCAATATTTTTTATATAAAGACTATAATCTTGGTGAACCTTTTCTTTGCACAATCTGCGTAAATGACAGAATAAACCATAATCAATATTAGAATTAGTTCTCTTATATTTTGCATGCAGCTCTTTTTTTTTCACAAATCATACTTTTGAGTTCAGGACTAAACCATGCAGGAAATTTAAAATTACTTTTTATTAGCAATCTTGGCACAAAAGTATCAATACAATCATAGAGAACAGCATAAAAACATTCAACATCATTATCCAGTTGATCAACCAATAAGGCATCCCAGTTAAAATTAATTAATAAATTGTTGATTACATTAAAATCTGCATTTTTAAAATCATAGATTTGTTCTTCAAATTGCAAAGGTTTATAAGAGCTAATATTTTGTATACTTACAACAAATGCTGGGTGATGTTTGTCACATGGCAGAAGTATATCATTAGCACAATTTACTTTAGTAAAATTAGAATTATTGGTAAATACAAGATCTAGTAAAACATTGTTACAATTTTTTATCGAGTTTATTTGAGTGCAGTTAGAAAACAGCATGGAGCTAACAAGAAGATCACCGGAGGAATTCCGTCTACCAATACCACTATCATGGAGGTTGGTTTCATCCAACATCTGAAGATGGGGCAGGTTGTAATCTCCCATGATGTACATGACATCAGAGCTATCACTGAAGTTTTCAATATTGTTGCAGTGATTTTCATATTCCACCAAATTGCTAAGGGGAGGAAAATATACTGCACAGAAGTAGGTGGACTTAATTTTACCAATAGATACAGAGACCCACACCTCTTCATGCCCAGATGTCAAATTCCTCAAATCGACTTGGTGCGATTTTAAACTTTTTGTGATCGCAATTAAAACACCTCCTCCTCTGGATTTGCCTGTTGCTATGTTGTCTCTGTCACATCTATAAATTGAGTAGTTCTGTAGCCCTAGTTCGGAGTCATTAAACTCTGGTGTTAACCAGGTTTCACTAAGTATAATTATATCATACGATGCCATGGATACATTGTTTGAAAATTCATTCACTTTAGTTCTGATGCCTCTAATGTTCTGGTAATTTAGTTGCTGCCTTTATCGCTCTCCCTCGGACCATAACAGGAATGGGTTGCTTGAATATCTCGCTGTCAAGAACCAGTTCCTGAACATCAATCACCTCTCTTCAATGGTGACTTCAATGCCCATAATGAGCTACGCCTGGGCTCAAACAAAACTGTTGCAGCAGGTCGTGTAGCTGAAACATTCGCTATTACCCAAGGACTGACCCAGCTGGTGACGAACGACCGCATTTTGTCACACGCCAGTAACCTGCTAGATCTCTTTCTGACGACACATCCTGTTTCTTTCAGCACTGCTGTCCTAAGATTGAAAGAAACTTCTCACACAGTATAGCCTTCCACCACTTACGTGTCAGGATGGAACGTTTGTATTCGACTCAAAGGCCAAGGCGGAAGTGCTAGCCAAGATCTTTGCTGCCAACTCCACCATGGACGTCCCCAACGCCCTAGTGCAGTCGATTCGAATGGAACACTCAGGCACAAGAGCGTAAGACGAATGCTCTTGTCGCTCGACATCAACAAAGCTTCTGGTCCGAACTTGATTCCTGTCGTGCTATTTGAAGAGGTGTGCAGCGGAACTTGCTCCAGTTCTTTCGCGTCTCTTCCAAATACCTTACGAATCCTGCACCTTCCCTGGAAGCTAGATATTGGCTCATGTCCAAACCCCTCCCAAAAAAGGATCTAAAATCTACCCTTACACCTACAGGCCAATAACTCCTGCTTTCTGTTTCAAGTAAGGTGATGGAGAGGTGCATAAATCGCAAGCTTCTAGTCTACCTCGAACGTCACGGCTTGATTAGCGACAGGCAATATGGTCTCCGATCAGCGATGCACAGGAGCTTATGTCACGCAATTGTGGAGTAAACTCATTCAGTCTTATGCTGAGGCTATGTCGTTGCTCTTGATATCACGAAACTTCCATGGCCTCCCAGAGGAGGTTTGCAGATGGGTGGTTGACTTTCTCTCTGGCCGCAACATATCCATCGTAATTGACGGATTCTCCTTTTCATACCACAACGTCAACGCGGATGTTCCCCAGCGATCGGTCCTTGCTCCAAGACTGTTGGCTTGAAAGTAAACTGAATTCGTACTGTTTAAAAATGCTCAGCTCGCTTAAGCAACGTACTTTGTCGAGATATTTCGGGCACACTCCAAAGTTGACTGGAAGAGATGCAATGATCACAATTTTAACTACAATATATCCTGCACATACCTTTGACTAGTATTGGTGAGGTCCAAATTGACAGGCTTCTGCGGCATAGAGTTGAACATAACGTCATTCTTCTCATCAGAAAATAGATCAATTGTAGGCGGCACGACAGGCGCTGGCGGTCGGGGAGGTTGTTGGATCTGCTGAACAGGCTGAACCGGCTGAACTTGCTGAACATCGTTGCTATCGAAGAACGAAGATACAGGAACGTTTGATACCTCATTGGTCGCTACAGACGTGCCGAAAAGATCGTTCGAAGGTGATGGATCCTGCTGGTGGGGAATTTGCGCTACCTCCCCTTCAGCTGGTTCCAGATCCATTGGATCGTAACTGGAAAATGGAGAACTATACTTCTTTAACAGTCTGAGTATTTGAGTGACCCAAAAAAAAATGAAAATTCGACATCATCTTACGAACCAGTGCAAGAAAAAGCATATTCAAGCAATTGTCAACTTTGCTAGGTAGGCTAACAAATGGCGAAGTTTGAATATCACACGCTGGACTCTTTTCGCATATTGTGACATAACTAACCTGAATGGGTTCGTGGTGGACATAGTGGTGGCCGTCTGTGAGAGGAACGGGTTATCGCTCGCAGCCCCAAAAGTATTTTCGTACGCCTGAGCCCCGTCATCTCCGTCGTCATCGAATAGAAATGGATTTGAAACGTTCGAAGCTGCAGCGGTTGGAGCAGCTGCTGCCCCGTAGGGCTCTTCACTGAAGAAGAACGGATTTGCGGAAGTCATTGCTGTTCAATCACTGGCTAGTCTGTAACCGGGATAAAACAATAATAATTAAAAGATAAATACATTTAAAAAATACAAGTTCGTATTGCCTCTAATTTATGGGACACCCTGTATAGCTAGAAATAATTTTAGGTTGTAGCCCTGAGCTCTGCCTAAAACTCCTATATTTTCTTTTCTCTGCTCTAATAGTAACGAAGATATTGGCCTTTGACACACTATTTGGACACCCTGTATATAAAATTTTTATACTTTAGTTTGTTCAGTGAAACATTCAACTGATACTTTATTTGTAACATTTTTTTTGAGTGGAAGAACACGTAATGCGAACCCAACAAGACAATTATTATTAAATTTTGAATCGCTCACTTTTCCATATCCAAGCATATCAGTATCACATATGATCTCTTGGCATCACGTACCTCTGAAAAAATTAGTTCGCTTTCCAGCAGCTTAAGTTCAGTCTTTCCAGGCAATATGTTGCTGGCTATTGACGTATCGAAAGGATCTGAATATGCCAATTCCTCTAATGATTCGCCAGGAGTGAGTACTTTCACTGGAATATCGTTGTCGATTGCCAGCAAATCGACCGCTGAAGATACTTCTTCGAGGACAGACGGCTTACGGGGACGGGTGCTTTCTTCAATCACCTGCAAAGAAGACATTGATAACTCTCTAATGACAGCATATTTCGTAAATATTGTGGAAATAAATAAAAGAAAAATTACATTATTAAAAACAAGCATTTACTGGGCTGCTAATGATTTTGTTTGTTTGTTGAGGATTTATTTAGCATTAATGCTACAATTTCAGTTTTGTGTAATGATTCGTTTACATAATATATGTAAAGAATATTATTTTTTTGAATCAATTTTCTGTAATTTTACATTGTTTTCTATTAAAATTACGTCACTATGCATTTTGAGTATAAGTCATTTTTTAATTTCACCTTAAGCCTTTTTTAATTCGAATACTGTTCAATATCATTATTCAGTTTATACTCCCTTTTGAAACACAGATTTTCTAGTTATAATATCATGACAATTTTGCAGATAAAAATCTGTACTGCCTCTAGTTTCGTAACTATTTGTTTGTTTAATTCAGATTTATTTAGTATTAATGCTACAATGTCGATAATATCCATATTACACAGTATATCACAAAATATATATATTTTTATAGAAAATTTCACTACTATGAATTCTGGTTTTCCATGATATATTTTTTCAATTTCCCGTTGAACATTTTATATACACAAATATTTAAATGATTCGATTGACACAATTTTTACAAGATTAATTGTAAGATTTATCGTATTTTGATCTGAAGATTTTTGTACTAGCATATATTTTGTTTTATTTGTGTTTAGTTCAAGTTTATATACATTTAACCAATCTATTACGTATTTCATATTATAATTTAACAGCTCCATTGCAGATTCAATGTCTTTATTTAATTAATATATATATATAACTTGAGACGTGGTCATTGTCGTCTAGAACAGTTAGGTGAAAAATTAAAGCTTCCGCCTTTTGTTGGGTACTTCGACAAAATTTAAGCAAAGAGGACTCTTTATACTTTTTTTAATTCTCTCTAGCTTTCAATGGACTTTGCCATCATCATCAGGAGCTGCAATTACAATGATATCAGTAGCAACAATAGTGCTACTGTTGGTACTGTTATCATTGTAATTGCAGCTCCTGATGATGATGGCAAAGTCCATTGGAAGCTAGAGAGAATTAAAAAAGTATAAAGAGTCCTCTTTGCATAAATTTTGTCGAAGTACCCAACAAAAGGCGGAAGCTTTAATTTTTCACCTATATATATATATATATATATATATATTAATGTATCATCAGTGTTGTAAAATATCAGGAATATCG